AGCAACTGATAAAAGCCATATAGCCAGATAACAAAGCAATCTAGATGCAAAGGAGCGAAACCATTTTTGTGATAGCTAGGCAGATGGCGAAATGCAAGGGTTGGTGCCGTTCTTGCTTGAGGTGGGTCTCCCTACTTCAAGCTTCAAAGAAGCACCACAGTTCTCTGAGATTTCAGCCCTTTGAGGTTAGGAAACATCCCATAATATGAGTATATGCTTGTTCAACGTAATTCTGCCTGGTTTTCCTGGCTGTGAGTGTTTAAAAGGAACACCCAGTTTTGCATTGGACATTTTATGCCTTGCATTCTATGACTTCTCATTGAGGTCATTGAGGTCAGAAAAAACACCATAACTAACCCAATGCAAGTTTGTTCACCCTAGTGTGCATGGTTTCAGTCAAAGTGAACTCCTTTTTAGAATTTAAGTTTCCAGGCTTTATCTAAATTTAGGTGATCTGACTGAGGGCCCTCCCAGACAGGTCCTATATCCCAGGATCTAATCCCAGGTTTTCTGTTTATCCCAAATTATCTGGCAGTGGGGACTCACATAATCCAGGTTAAAGCAGAAATCCTGGGATCAGATCCCAGGATGTAGGACCTGTCTGGAAAGGCCCCGGGGCTGATTTCTTAATCCCCTGCTCCTGTCTCCCAGAAATTATCTGCAATAGATTACGGATCTATATAAATAAGATGGATGGTAGTATGGTGGAAAGAAAAGTGATAATCTCCCTCACCATGAGTAGAGAGGTCCAATTTCCACACAATGGGCGTTCCTTATCATTTTAAATCAGAGCTGTGAGAGATTGAACGTGGGACCTTTTATGTTCAAAACACTGATCTTCAATCTCCTCCTAAAGTTTGTTTGAATTCACTTCCTCTCTCCATTCCTAGTCATTTACTATCAACTCCCACAATTCCTAACAACCTACCAGCTGGAAGTCTGAAATTTGCCCACTCCTGGTCTACACTGTAGAATGAATGCAGTTTGACATCACTAACTTCCTTGGTTCAATGGCATGGAATCATGGGACCTGTGATTTTACAAGGTCTTTAGCCTCTGCAAAGAGTGATGATGCCTCAGAAAACTACAACAGGATTCCATAGCAATGAGCCATGGGAGTTAAAGCAGTACCAAATTGCATTAATTCTACAATGTAGGTGCACCCTAAGACTGCTCTGGCCTCAGTACTACTTCAAACACAAAAGGGCAAGCAAAACCGAGCAGCTGAGCAGTTAAAGTTTTTTTAAAAGCATGTTTTCCAACTGCATAGATGTGCCATAAGTTATTCCACAGTAATAATAATAATAATAATAATAATAATAAATAGTAAATTTTATTTATAGCCCACCACCATCTCCCTGAAGGGACTCGGGATTTCTTACGAAAGCACTCCAGAGTGCCGCACATAAAATAAACAATACATAAGCATAAAAACAATAACAACATAAAATTACAACAGCAAACACAGTGAAAAAACCATAAAACATAACATAATAAAATGATAAAATTCCGTATAAAAAGAAAACTCAGGACAGTGTATCTTCAGATGGAAATTAGTACATCAGTCCATATAATAAGTAACCTGAACCAGTGGAGTGTAATAAACACGTTGAGAAACAGTTGGGCCATAATGTCTCTTCCCTCCCATGTCTTTTGTGAGTAACCATTGCTACTCTGGGAGTTTGCAACCTCCTTCTTGAAAATCATTATTATTACAATTACATTGATTTTCCTTTTTGTTAGGTAGTTTTTTTCCCTTAGAATAGTTGTATTGGCGTACTTAGATCCAGAGATGGCATCTATATTCCTGTAGCCAAATTGGGGGGTTGTTTTCTGATTAAATAAGATTAAATTCAATGACTATAGTGCAGGATTCATCTTTAGATTCAGGATATCTCAATATGGGGAAACTCCAAGCAATACAAATCAGATGGTGTTGTATATCTGTTCCGTCTTTCCTTGCAGTTTTCCTGTGGCTTTGTGGTACAGGAGGAACTCCAGTGACCTTCTGCACTATTGCAAATGTCTGCAGATGCTGTCAATGGTGGAAAATTCTGAATAGTAGTACAGACCTGCAAAAGATTCTGGGTAGTGGGAAATTGGTCGAAAATGAGAAGTTGCCCTTGTCTGATGAATAAGAAAATATTGATATCTATCAGGGGGCAACATGGTCAGGGAACCATCTTTCTTGTAAACAGTACACCAATCCTACCTACATTACTCCTTACTTCATCCTGAAATGCTAACACTTTGCAGTTGATGCTAAATTATTAGATGCATCCAGCTTGCAGTTTTGCTTTCAACCTGCTCTATGAGATTGTGAGGTTATTCCTCTTTTATTAATCTGAAAAGGCTTTGGAATGGGCATTGTTGCCTTATAAAATGCATGTCTCATCTCCTCTTTGGCCAGATGTGTTCAATATTGAGAGTCTTTGTTGGGTTTCATCCCTGACTGCTCAAGTGTCCAGCTCTCAATGAGCAGTTAGCTTAGATAGATTAGAGTGAGGTATTCCTTCCCCGATTTCCTATAGCAAGCTTATCTTAAGAAGGGGCTTAGAAGCAGGGTTGTCTTACTCATCTTTGCATGCCACTGTCTCCTCCCCCTTTGAATACTTAGCAATGTAATTTCTTTAGGGAAAACATAACTTCTTCTTTAAAGGTATTTTTACTGCCCTGGCGAAGCCATGTTGTCAGAGTTCACAATATTGGCCTGTCCTCTTCTTCCTTTGTCTTCTCAAGAGTGAGGAGGCATCTTGCCATTGTCCAGGCAAGATGTAGTAGATGTAGCTACTTTTATTATTTTTCCTTTTCCTTTCCTTAGAAAATAGCTCAGTGAAGCTAGTTAGCTCCAAGAACTTTTCCTATCTAGAATGGATGCATTATTTTGATGGCATAGACAAGCCACCAGGTTTTTTTTATCTATCTTCTTAAGTAGATTTTAAAAAAAACTAATTTTGGTTCTACCAGGTGAGAATTGTTTTGTGTTGTGCACTGCAATTTTATAATAATAGATTTATAACAATATAAATTGCAACATAAAGGAAATAATACATTTAATGTGGTATATTTATATAGTCTAGTTGTTGTGTCTCTCTCCTCATTGCCCCAGCCTATGGCTTTGAACAAATATAAAAAGTATTCGTAAAGAGTTTGTGTCATTGTCACATGCAAACATGCTGTGAGTTTGATACGGTGTTACAGTGGGATTTCTGCTATCCGTTCATTGCTAACACACCACCTCCAGACCAAATGCTTCTTCTCTGTCGTCACAGCATTTGGCACCAAAAGACACGCTGACAAACTGTGTTGCCAGCTTGTGTGTGCAAATTTTATGAGAGTTTATTGTAGCAGCCAGATATGCAGTCAAGGGTATGCTGTTTGCTTTGGACACTGGAACTACCAGCCAGGCTCTGTTTGTTCATTTACAGGCCCAATTTCAAATAAATCAGATTCTTTAAATTATGGTACACTTGGGTAGATACCAGAACTTCTTGTGCTTATATGGACTGCCTGCCTCAACTTCAGCACTGGTTTTCCAGATCTCCCAGTTACCTAATCGATCAAGTTGATACCGCTTTTAGAAGTTATTCTAAATGTGCAGCATATTTCATGTACCATTCAGGTAAATATGGCTGTTATGTAAGACCAGGTTTGGATAATGTTTAGCCCATGGGTCACATGAAGTTCCCCATTGGGGGTGGGGATTTTTTTCTAATTAATTTTTATTACATTTTCAAAAATGTAACTTAAACCATCAAATTTGAAATAAAATAATAATACAGGCACTAAAATAGAAAAACAAAAATTATCCCATAATATTTCTACCCCATAACTTGTTTTTGTTTTTGTTTTGTTTTGGGGTTTTTGCTGCAGTCCAGAAGGCATGTTATAGCATGTTTAAAAGCCAGATGAACATCTTTTCCCCCAAAATCATTTCCCCCACAGAACACTCTCGAATTTCAATGGGATGCATTCCCACCATATTTTGCAGGTCCTCTGAAATGCTTGCGACTAGAAATGTTGTTTTGTTTTTATTTTGAAATCCTGTATTTGTTGATATGTACATAGTGAGATATTCAGGAAATAATATCCAGGTCTAAACACAAAATTCGGTTATGTTTCATGTGAAACTTATATACTTAACCTACAGGTCATCTTAATAACTTTGCACTGTTACAAACTGTGTGTACAGGAAACCACCAGAAAGTAAAGTTGTTATTATCACAGCCACCCTTGTGGACAATTTCGGATTTTGGAGTATTTAGGAATTTTGGATAAGGAATGCTTAACATGTTTCAAATAGGTTTTTCTGTTACTTGTTTTAAATAAACACTATGTCCTGCCTGGACACAATTATGTAGTTACAAAGAATAAGAAAGCAAAGGAGGGAGGGAGGAAGAAAGGGGTGTGGACAACAGTAGTTACAAAGAACAGGATTAAAAGATGGCAGGAGGGAGGAAGGGATACAGAGAATGATGGCAGGTAAAATCTCTGGACAGAAAACAGTGACCATAGGCTATGGCAGAGAGGGGTAATTCCATGTTCCATGATTTAACCAATAGAAAGCACTGCCCAACTACCTTCTAATTTCTGGATTTTTAAAATGGCAACATGTTCTCCAAGCATTTATCTGCAAATATGGAGACTGAGTTAGAGTAACTTTTGATGATGCCACGCTCCACTTCAGCTATTACATTCAGTGTTTGGGTGGCAGGACTGCAAACTGTAGAAATCACTTATGCATCATTGCTACAGAAGTATGCCTGTAGAAAGAAATTACTCAGAATGCATTGGGCCTGCACTAAACACTTCTCTCCTCTTACACTTGGATTTTCTTCAAAGTCTGCAAATGTGTTGAATGCACTCTGGTAGGACTGTGGAGGCACAGACCTGGGAGGCATCAAATGCAGATAGATTTGCATTACTGTTTTTTCCATGTAATATCAAGCACAGGTATGACTTACCACTTTTTCTCCCCCACCCTTTCTGTCTCTATTTAGAGTCCTCCAAGAGAGGTGCATGGAGTAGTATGGCAGAAGTCCCATCTAGACATGGGCAGTGCTAAGGAACCAGATACATTGCAGTTCTTGAAGCAAGAGGCTGTTTCAGAAGATGCTCATCAGCCCAGCTCACACTGTAGTCCAGAGAAAGACAGGTGCCTCCAGAACCTCCAATGTGACGGAGGGCATCTTGCCATGAGGAACTGCTGTATACATGATCTCTCCACCAAAGAGAGCAGCCAAGACAACACCATGGTGGACAACCCATATCAAAAGGATAAGTCTCCAGCTGCAAACCTGAAGCCTTCTGATGATCAACACGCCACCACAGATACCATAGTTCTTAAAGACATAAGTCCTGGTGGAACCCCATTGGGAGTGGAAGGAGAACAATCAGCCAGCCATGAGTTGTGCCACAACAACCAGCAGGGATTGAGCCTGACAGAACCTCCTGGTAACCCAGCCAATACATGCAGCCCTTTGGAAACAAATGTAAGTCCTGTGACTGGGGAGGCGTGCAGGCATCCCCTGCCAGAATCCAGCCTCAAGGAAGACCATAAGGACTCAGCCAGCACTCCATCCTCCTCGAAGCATGTTGGATTTGTTGAATCAAGCAAGGACAAAGATGAGACAGATAGCATCACAGCAGGAACAGGACATTCTAAGGAAAGTCCAGCACTTCCTGCATGTCTGAAAAACACATGCCAAGGACAGCTTCATGACTCCTTGGGAAATTTACCTAACTCCAGCCATGACATCTGTGGAACAGCAGGACCTTTCAGCGAAGGACACAGAGATCCTTTGGTATTGGGAACTACCAAGGAATCTGTTACAGAACCCTTTGAAACTGAAGGCACACCAGGAGAGTCAAACAAGCCAGTTACAGAAAGTCACCAGTTGGGTCAGAGTGGGGAAATAAAATCTGTGGCTCTGGATAGTAAGACAGGTAGGGACTCCGGTATAGCTTTGGGGGTCCCCATTACTATCATTCCTTGTGATGTCCAAACCCAGGACCTAACCCCAGGTGAGTTGCAAGCAACTCCAGATAAAGCTACCAAGGAGCCAGAAGGGCTCAGAGAAGCAGCACCTGATGATGCCAAGGGTCAAAACCAAGCTCAGGAACAGCAGAGACCAGAAGCAGGCTGCACGGCTACACGTAAGGAACACACAACAGCTGTAGAGACAAGACATGAAGAGCCTCTTGTCAAATCCTGCTTAATAGAGGTCACTCCTTCCCAGCATGATGCTGGGACCCAAGCTGACAACCGTGTGTCTTTGGTGTCAGTTGCCATCAGCCCCATCAACCCGCCTGATGGATCTGCAGCCTTCACTTTCCATGGCAGAGGTTTGGGGGCCCCTTCTTTGATGAGCCCCGGCCCAGAACAGAAACCTGCCAAGAAAGATGTGGAGATGCAGGTATCCATCCCAGTGGAGACTAGGTCAGTGGCCACTGGGCCCATGACCCCTATTACCAAATCTCCCCAAGCCTCCTATCCTGAGGTGCATGTGAAAGGGGCACAGGAGGAGACACCTGAGCCTGTGAAGGAAGTCAGCTGGGATGAGAAGGGGATGACATGGGAAGTGTATGGTGCCTCCATGGAGGTGGAGGTGTTGGGCATGGCTATCCAGAAGCACCTGGAGAAGCAGATTGAAGAGCATGGCCGGCAGGTAGTGATGACTCCTCAGAGCACCCGCTCCAGCTCCATCAAAGGGGTCCCACAGAAGGCAGAGATCAAGAGGCAGCCCAGTGTGTTCAGGTCACTCCTACAGAATGTGCGGCGACCCCGCTGCTGCTCCCGAGGGGGCCCAGCTGTAGAATGAAGCAGGTCCTTTGCAACTTCTTGGGTTTTATAGCAGCTGTAGGGAGGGGAACACAAATGTGAAGTAGTTTCTCAGGCAATATGTGGGACCATCTCCATCTGTATTTCTCAGTCTCTCGTATCTCAAAACTGTAAGTTTTCTGCCACATCTGTTAACTACATTTTAGAAGATGAGTTAACATCTCCTGAAGAACACAAACAAATCTTTGCAGAGTTCTGCCAGACATATTTGTTCCTGTGAGAAACATGAATGTCTGAGAAGGCAAGACTCACACCTTTTGGTGCTGCATTGCCTGCTCAGACATGTTTTTACAATGCCAAATTTACATCACAACATGCCAGGTACCCATGTGTTTTCTATAAGCTGGAGAGCACCTGTAGGCTTGTATGTACTGCTGGCATGGTCCTCTCACAGACAATATTTGTCATTTACTGAATACCATAAAGGTCGCAATCCTCAGTGACTGTGATAAGGAACCTAAGACATTGAAGGGAGGCCATGGAAACTGCCAGGGAGTAGAATGTGCCATCCTTTAGCCAATTTCTGTTTAAAAGGCATATTTGGTATGAAAAAGTTTTCAGTACTTTGTGATGAGTTAATGTATATACTATCTATGTTGGAAACATATCAAAAATCTACTCTATAGGATCTTTGTTACAAAACCTAACTGCATAAGGACTGGAGCAAATGTGATGGATACTGCAGGTTAAATATTTGCTTGCATGAGGTCTGTCACAGATAAATCTGCTTACCACATGAATTGGCCCATTTAATCACACACATGGCGTGTCTCCCCAGGCCAGAATTGCTGAAATCTGAGCCCTACCTGTGAACAATGGTTCCAGCTCATGTGGCAAGTGCCTTGATGCAGGACAGAGTATGTTTAAACACACAGCTGGACACACACTTTGCCATTAGTGACTATCACATCTGTTTTTATCATTGTATTTTAAGAATTGAATCTGGAGCGTTGTAGCGTGAAACCAAAATTCTGAGCTATCATCGCCTACAATATTTTCTGCATCTTATTGCATACAAAAGAAATGTCCCAGTTTTAACATCTTCACCTTTAGAAGAATACATTTGTCCCAGTTCCCAGTGATTAAGATTATTTTACCAGAAACAGCAGCAGCAACAAAGCCTCCTCTAGTTTTTAATTACTCTGGCGTGGAAGTATATTTCTTTAATATTGTGTGGCTTTTCCATCATTCATAAAAACACAATGGCAAAAGAAATTACTTCCTTACCAGTTTCTGGACCCATTTCATTTTAAAAAACACAGTGGATAATTCTGCTACCGTATATACTCACATACAGGTTTGGGGGGATAAAATTATGGATTTTGATGTGACCTGTGGATACATTTAGGGTCATTCTAAGCAGAGGGGGAAACAAGAATGCTGCCTTGGAGGGCCAGTCACTGTGACCATTATTTACCTGCCTAAACATTTAAAAAGCCCTTTGCAACTCTACTCAGAGAAGGAAATGGTTCTCTTTTCATAAAATTTAAGGTAAAGTAATAATTGTTATCAGAAAAAGGAACCCACCGCTTTTCTGTGTGGAGTGATGAAAGGTAAGAGCTTAGTTCTTTCCAGGATAACATAAAAGAAGAATTGAACCCCCATTCATTTTCTCATTGCCCCTTTCATGAAAAGCCTCAAAGACACTCAAAAGCCTGAAGTGGTGCCATAGCAGAGAAAGTAGAAGGGCTTGGCATGTCTTTTCATCTCTCACTTTTTGCCAGTCTACTCAGAGAAAGATGGGGCTCTTTTTATTAGAGTTAAAGTACAGTACTAACATTGACCTCTGAATATTTCAGCCCAATTTTTTGGAATCAACATATACTGAAATGTCTAGATATACAAAATAATATACAGCATCACAAATCATGAATTTGAAACCCACTGTCCTGGTTTCCTTCATTGACTTCCTGTGGTAAAACCAGCTCTTGCTCTAATTCCAGTTCATGGGCAGCATGTTCCTCAGTTATGTCTTGGGCTTAATCCAGACACAGCACTGCTAACCCCCTTTTTCTCATGTGGGTGCAACTTTCAAGTCCCATAAACCACCTGCAGCCCTCCCAATCTGTATGGACTACAGCTTCTAGTATATCTGCTTATGAAGAAGAATGAAACAGCTACTCTGCAGCTGTCTCTTCTCATGCCACAAGATCCCTCCTACTTTTTTTCTTTAGAAGCCTTGAAGAAGGCCTTTCCCATCAATGATCACCAAGTTTAACTGAATATAAAACTGAAAAAGTTAAATTAATAACACCCAATTGTATTGGCCCAAATAGCTCTTGAGATGTAGACATCAGCAGCCATTGACTTCATTCTAAAATTGCCAAAGACCCTGAGTTCCCAAGGCTAGATCAGGGAGCCTCTTCCTTTCTCTTTACATAGGCACTGTCAACCTCAAGATTTGGTTGAGTTTTTCTGGATTTGGCATAAAACACTGTCAAATATGTGTAAACAAAAATTATGGTAAGCATGCTGATTGGGTTCTGTAATAGGTCGGTGTCAGGTTTTTCAAGCTACCAGTGTGTATATAACGGACCCTGGGAAGAAACAACAGCAGTCACTGCAGTCAGCAGTGAAATTCCCCTTTCTGTCCAAAAGCAGCTGATAACCCTTTAGCACCACTGAATGCATCAACAGTCACACTGGGTAAGGCAAAAATCCAAATTAGTCAAGCATGGTTTTTTTCTGCTCAATAGGTGAATCGGGTCAGAAGAGTTATTGCTTTTGAATGAAACTCTCAAAATAGTAACAATGTTGACTTGGGGATTCTGGGAATTGTAGTCCAAAAATCACTTTTCTGACCTCTGAACCAGACAAATTCTTCTAGTGAGCTGGCAGGCAGAATGAAAAGGCTGTCATCTTGTCTCATGTTATCTCCATGCCAACTGATCTTCACTGTTATGCTGCCTTCCAGCATGGAGATCTTCATTTGCCATAGACTTGCCCTTCATGAATTTATCTTAGTTGGTTTTAAATCTGTCTGACTTAGTGACCGTCACTGTCTCATACTGCCATGATTTCACACAAGTTTAGTCTGCAATTTGGTCATTCTTTCTTGGCCATAAGTCATGTTGTACTGGAGAATATGGAACTTGAGCTTTTCTGTGCTGAAGCCTACTTCTGGAGATAAAGACTTACCTACAAAATGCATGTCACACTATGTTTGTTCCAAAAGCTGTGCCAACTTTGCTGCAACAAGATTACATAGCTACACTTCTGCCAGGTTATTGCTTTAAGGCTCAGGAGCCAAGCTTTAGTGGAACAGTGTCAGAATTGCAATTCTGTACCTGATACGTTTTCCATGAAATGTAGTCCCGAGTGTGGAGTTTCTAAGATATTTAAAGAACTTGAAAGTCCCTATCTTTTATTGCTGTGAAGGAATACATGGGAAACATAAAGCTTTATCTGTGGATATCTGCAGTATTTCTGGAGAGAGTCTGTATAGTTTGAAAATGCAACAGTCAATGCCTTTAGATTGTGATCTGACAAGCTAAGCTGTCAGCTAGGAGTGGGGATGGTACAGCCTTCAGCTGTTGATCTCACCATTGTGTATCTTGAGTAGCCAGAATCATGGAGTTGGAAGGGGTCCCAAAGGCCATCATGTCTAACCCCTCTGCAAAATGCAGATTCTCCAGGTAGAGCATTATTTCCAGCAACTAGCTTTCCAGGCTCTTTTTGGTGGGATATGTAGTCCACCCACATGTGGAGAGCTGCACCACTCCTAGCTCTACTCCACCCAGTTCCAGCTCCAAGTCAAAATGCTGTTGGTACACTTGTTTCTGGCACACAATAAATACACAGAACAGCCTCTGCCATGGCTAGTTGACCTGTGACATGCCATGTATAGTTGAATTCCACATCTCATTATAGCTGGCCATCCTGACTAATGAAGAGGTACAGTGGGGTACTGGTTCATGAAATTCTAATAGGTAATCTCCAATTTTTGCCCTCATGTAACACTTTAGGTTCACAAGTTTTCTGGCCGTCTTGACAGCGGCATCCCACACACTACAGGAATCACATTTATGAGTTCTAGAATGGTTCATTTAGTTGAATCAACTCAAAATTAAACAGATGAGTAATAGTATTTAGAAGCATCGTTTCAGCAAGTACACAGAGCCCTGCCATTACTCTGAACAGTATTGGCAGTCTGTAAATCCATACAATGTTGACTTCTGCAGGTTTGTCAGCAGTGGACCAGAAGTGCAAGACTCAATCAGACTGGGAGTTTTGCCGAGTTTCAGAGGTAGCATCTTGAATCCTAGGTCACAAGGCTGGTGCCACATGACAAGCAACTTGCCTGAGAAACTAGTAGTTTGGAAATATCTTGTATGTGAGTTTGTGGCTCAAGGCATGCCCTTGTTTGTGGGCATGCGGGTGTGTGTTTCCCTCTTTGCAGTGTTCCCCCCCTGCCTTGAGAGCATGGGGGTCCATTGCCATTGGAAATATGGCTAGTTTTTATGTCCTTTTTTTTCTCAGAGGGTCTGGGTGGGCTGGGATATTTTATTCATATGTGTTGTAATATGGGGCCTTTTTAAAAAAAAAACACTGTTTTCTCTGTTGTGTTTATTCTGACTCAAGTTCTTGTTTTTATGAAAGTGTCTTGAAAATGCTCTTTCTTTCCCTCCCACCTCTCGACCCCCCCCCCCAATATTTTATGCATTGGGGGTTTGGCAATTTGTGGCTTTCCCCTATAGCCAAGTACGGGGGGGGGGGGAGGATGAATGGAACAAATTAGTTGAAGGAGAGGAGATAATGGTTAAAGACCTCTTTTCAATACCAAACTCTTTGTTTTCTTAATCCAGAGTAGTTGCATCTATTATCCTTTTATTGAAGGTGCTTCCAGTTGAGGAACATCATGCTGATCTTAGAAATGTTGCTTTTATGTGCTACATTCCCACAGTCTACCAATAGCACTGGCCATGCCATCTGAGAGATTGTGCAACTGTAGCACAAAAAAGGTAACATTTCCAAACTTTTGACTATTAGTGTGCCAAAAATTGACACGCATAGCCCTTGACATCTCTGCTGTTGATAGTATCATCTTAATTTTTTACCACACATTTTAGTTTATGGTTCCTCCTGGCTTTATATGAATTTATGGTTGCCAGCCTGTTTTTCCAGTTGCTCAAAAGAAGAAATAGAGCAGGTGTAGTGTTTCCCAGCTTGCCAATCACATGAGAAGGAGTAATAGGGTGGCTGGCTGAATTTCCTCTTGTTGTAAAAATCTGCCAGAAAAGGAAAACAGATTAGCAATCCTACTTGGAACACTGAGCAAAGTCCATTATGCTTGGTGATGTGGGCTTTATTCCAAAAGGAGACAGAGACTTCATCCCTTTGAGAATTGGGAAGATGGACACCATTTAGCAGGTGCCATCTCCAGCTGTCTCTGCAATGCTTGTGAGGGGAGCAAATGAACTTGAAGAATCTCTCTCTTTCTTAGAAGGATCTCAGATGGACCAAAGCCCAGTACCTCTTATCACATACTAATCCTACCAAGAGAGGCAGAAGAGCCTTGCTTTGATCTGTAGGTTACTTTCCTGTTGGAAAGCACAAGTAATACTGTCAGTGGATTCAGTAGTAGCCCTCTGGGATATACACAATTTATGGCAGATTATGGTGGTGCGTGGCTGTGTAAAGTAATCTGCTTGTTGGTATTGTGATTTGGATTAGCTGGCTGGTGCACTAGGCAATTTTGATGATGACAAGGAAGGGTTTCTAAAACTAATCTATCCCCTTCAACTGCAGAGGGCTTGCCACAAAAGTTGGATTGGCCCTGAGTAGCATTGATAAGGTTAACAGTACCAAGCCCAGATCTTGGGAGAAAGAAGGAACATTGGTGAATCTGAGCAAATCCTTAGTAACTGCAGCAAAATAGAATTTAAAATGGCAAATAAAACAAGAGCCTGAAGATCTGTGAAATAATGGGAGGACATAGTAGGGTATTCCTGCACCTCAGTGTAGTGTTTGATATAAGACAAAATCAAAAGTTGTCTTTTTGGATGTTTTTCCTAAATATGTTCATGCTGTAGTTGGTTGAATCTGTGGATGTAGAATCCATGGATACCTGGCTGTCGTAAAGACTTGTGTGCACCCATATTATACAGCATAGAAGGCATCGGTCTGAAACTAACAGCAGAGGTAGGATTCATCTATCTACTCACCAAGGATGTGCTTTTCACTGGCACTGAATTGTCAAAAGTTCTGCTTAGCTAGCTAGTGCTGTATCTCACTACAGGTTTCTCAGCATAGAATTCATCTACACACCTGAATTAATGCAGTTTGTCACCACTTGAAGTGTCATGGCTCAGTGCTATGGAATCCTGAGAGTTCCAGTTTTACAATGTCTTTAGTCTTCTATGGCAGAGTGCTGGTGTCTCACCAAAGAGCCATGACAATTAAAGTTGTGTCAAACTGCATTCATTCTACAGTGTAGATGTACTCCAGTAATAATTAAACCTGTGCAGATGCTGAAGCAAGGTATTTATTGCCGAATACATGGATTTATGAGTGTCTATTACATCTAAATGCATTGTGTTGTTTGCAAGGTCTAATAATCTTCCATTTGTGTAAGATAGAAAGTGAGGGAGACTGCCTCTCCATCAAGAGTTAAGTCCTGTACAGTTTGTTGAGCATACTAACAACTTGTATCCATAAACAGTTTCCTTCTCCGTGGGCCTTGTCTTGCTATGTAGAATTAGGTTGCAGGAGATATCTCCAAACATACATATGGGAAGAGTGGGACAAAGAAAACATAATGTGTAGATTTCTATTCCCAAATCTCCCAACAATTGATAGCATCACTGGCATACAAGATTGCAGGGGGCATAACTAGTGCCAAATACCATTTTACTTACTGGAGAAACCTACAGAACTGCGGAGTACCCTTCCCATCCCCACACCCTGCCTTGTGTGCTGTTCTCAGTATGGTGTTCATGTGCCATATGGATCTATAGTACCAAGCAATGACGAGTTGTTAACAGTAACCTTGCCTTTTGGTTTTGTTTTTCTTTCCTTCTTTATATCCTTAGTCTATAAACTTGTAAACCTGGCTGTTGGATAATAAAATTTTCTCCAAAAATCAATCAAATGTAAACACCTCTAACATTCTTCAGCTTATAAGGGTTTTCCTTGGTTTCATCAAAGGTATGAAAGGAACAAGGGGAGATTGCCTGGTACTGGCTCAAAAGAGGTCCTCTTTACTGAGGATATTAGGAAAATTGGGCTTCAAGGCAATAGGAAAGTCGGTTAATTTCAAGAGTGTATGCATCACAAAGGGTGAAACCCTATAATTTCTCTTGGCCTAGCCTCTCATAGTCACCCACTCCATCTCAGAAAAAGAAAAAGTCAAAATCCTAGAGTTAAAAGAGCCTACAAGGGCCATCTCATTCAACCTCCTGCCATACAGGAACACACAAAGCACACCCAAGAGAGGGCCATCTGGGCTCTGTTGTCTCAGATTAAAGCAACAACTCATTCTTGGATCCCTGGAATTCCACACAAAGGGAGCCGAAAGCGTGGTCTGGCAACCATTAATGCAGAGTACTACAAAGGATATGAGGCCTTGTATTTGGCAGTGAATGGTGTTGAACTGCACCATTCAGACTCCATATTCAGCAGATAGTACCATAGCTTTATTCTGAAACCCCATTCCACTCTGTATCCACTGGGAGGTGGTATCTTGCACTCTACCTTTGGAAAACACGGTCACAACATTTTGCTGTCACTATTAATTAGAAAACCTGTGATAGTTTCTTGTTAGGGTAACCATAACTCAGAAATGACGTTTAGGCACATGATGATGATGGTGATGACGATGATGATGATGACGACGACGGCAAACAACAACAACAACAAGCAGCTGGGTACGTATGGGTAACTTCCATGTTTGTACCATAATTTTTCACCTGGCAAGTCTGTTGTTCCATAGGATGCAAATCTGAGACATAAGACAACCACAAATCAGATGGTTTTTTAAAAAAATATTCTCTGCCAGTTTATTTTTATTTATGGTAAGTGCTACCGAAACGCCATCTCCAGGGCAAAATTGCAAAGTACTACTGTGAAGCTGCTGTTTCCTCCTCTGCCAGGAAGTAACAACTAACAGTCACACATCTGTAGTGTCCAGGATTGCCTTGTTGTCTATGCTGTTGAGATTTTCTGGCTTTGGCTTGGCTTCTTTGTGGCTTTCTAAGGCGGCTTTTAAAAGCTCCTCTCTGTCATTTGCTTGCCATTGAGCATTTTCTTTGGGCTGCTGGAAGAGAAGAGAGAAAAACACCGTACTGAATGAATACTTAGAGCATTTTTGAAGGGGTAATTGTGTTAGTCTCTTGCTACAAAGCAACAAGGGGGTGCATGACTCCTTTAAGACTAACAGATTTATTATTGAATGACATTAAGGCTGGCCCCATCCCTCACCTCCTTCCATAAGAACTTGAAGACTTGGTGGTTTCATCAGGTCTTTGATAATGACTAGTCTCAAATTTCAAGCCCTTGGTCCAACAGTTAGGACTTGGTCTTGTACCCCATCCATTCCCTAGTTCCCTGTCATCTGAGGGCACCTTTTCTTCTGGCCCAGACATTTTTTTATAGTCCTTTAATTGGCCCTGGAATTGAGTGGTCCCGGTCCCCTAGTAGGGCCATTGCTGAGACCGATCTTTGCACTGTAGCATTCAGCCAGCCCCATTTTCCCCTTCTCCTTGCACTAGCATTGGCCCAGCCCATTCCAAATAGTCCAGGCCCCTTATTGAAATCTTTGCCCCTGGCAGCTTATCTTGCATGAAGAAGAGAGTGGAACTGGTTTTAAATTGATTTTAATGTATATGTTGTGTTAACAGTTTATGTCTATGTTTTTGTTTTATATTGTATGTTTTTTGTATTATTTTGCATATGTGGAAACCACTCTGAGTCCCCTGGGGGAGATAGGGCAGTATATAAATAAAAGTTTTATTTTATTTATTATTTAAGTAGATTGCAGGCACTTCATGATGTAAGGAGGATGATTTCACAAACATCCATGTATATTGTACATATATTCCTGGATCTCTGAAATCAGATTATATCGTATTGTACTATGATTGTATGATTGTGTGGTGGCACAGTGGGTTAAACTGCAAAGCTGCAGAACTTGCTGACCAGAAGATTAGCAGTTCAAATCCATGGGTCGGGGTGAGCTCCTGCTGTTAGCCCCAGCTTCTGCCAACCTAGCAGTTCAAGAGTGCAAATGTGAGTAGATCAATAGGTACCGCTTTGGCAGGAAAGTAACATCACTCCATGCAGTCATGCCAGCCACGTCACCTAGGAGGCGTCTACAGACAATGTCAACTCTTTGGCTTAGAAATGGAGATGAGCACCACCCTCCAGACTCGGACTCAACTAGACTTCATGTCAAGGGGAAACTTTTACCTTTACTTTACTATGACTGAGGATTATGATAAATAAATCATGGTATAGTAAATCTGAAAAGGCAATAATATAGGTAATAGGGAAGAAAAAAACACATTCCAGATGGATAGACTAAATCAAGGATGTCATGGTCTTGAATGTGTATGTCCAGAGCAAGGCTGTTGATGCAGTTCAAAGCAAATATGGTGGGGTGTCCTGCCTTGATATCCTGGGTTATATGGCTGTGTGGAAGGGCCCTTAGTCTACAATGCTTTATAATCCAGTTCAAAGCAGATAATCTGGATTTGATTTGGCAGTGTAGAAGGGGCCTAAGGGCCCTTCCACACAGCCCAATAACCCAGAATATCAAGGCTGAAAATTCCACAATATCTGCTTTGAACTGAGTTATCTGAGTTCACACTCAGATAATGTGGGATTTTCTGCCTTGATATTCTGGGTTATAGTGCTGTGTAGAAGAGCCCTAAGAGACAAGTTTGAAGAGTAAAGCTTACATCCTTCTTACTGTTATTCATGAAAAGCAACAAAGGCCTTACACAAATAAGGGCATGACTCACTCATGCACATCAATGTCATGATCAAACTTTCACTGCCACCCCATGTGAGGAAATTATACTCTCTGTTTCTTCCCCAGCAATGCAACTGAATATTTAGTGCTACACGTATCTTGACTTTGCCTGACTATCTGCTAACAGCTGCAGCCATTAGCAGTAGCTCCCCACTACAGTTTCCTCCTGTTTCTATCTACTTCACAGCATGGCAGGAAATCTCATGACATGAATGCATACCCAGGAAAAGAGCCATCTCAACATGCCTGTCAGTTTTCAGGAGAGGAAACTGTCACATCTTGTCTATCAAAGACCTGTAAGTTAAGGTCGAATACTACTATTACTATGTGTATGCATTTACCATCATGTCACCTGTCAATATAATATAACTCCATGAATTCCATCGTGTTTTCCTATGCATAAACTGCTTAAAATGGCTTGCCATCACCTAACACTGAAGGATAGCCTATAGCAACTGTATCCTTGGGGATACCCATCCAGGTGCTAACTGGGCCTGATATCATTTCATGTACAACAACAGATCTGGGACTGCTATCAGTACTGTTATATGATAATAATCAAGTGGCAGGAATGCACAATGGCCGGGAGGATCGGCAATGGATTAGTGGCAGGTGGAGATCTTCTCACCTTCACTGCAGGTGTGGCTGGATCACTCTCAGAAGCATCAACCATGTTCTCGTCCAGAGAGTTCAGGCTGGAAAAAGAGAAAGCCGCTCAGCTGATGAGGGGGTTCTTGCTGCCCCTCCTTGCAGCAACCAAGAATGTTGAGAAGGGACTTGTGGCAAGGGGCCATTGTTCTGCAGCAGGGGTGGGCAACTGGGTCAAGCCCAGAGGACAGTGAGCCACACTGATGGCCATGAAAGAACCCAGGAGTGCATTTTTGGATTTGAAATAAGCCATTTGTACAATAGGCGGTGTAGTGAGAGTGTCTCTGGAAACATTCTCTTCACCACCACCACCACCACCATAGCTTTGGACAGAAAAGGGGGAACCTGCAGGGGCTGAATTCCAGAAAACTAGTTTTGGGGAGCCATAGCCACATTTTATCTCCCTCTGCCCTCAAAATTGTAAATATTGCAATGGGTGAGTGGAAAATTCAGTTATTTAGCAACCCATTCTCACAACCACTATGTGGATGTAACATCCCAGAGGCTGGAAATACTGCATATGAGATACAGTCTCTGGAAAGAAAACCAATTACTTTAGTTTAATGAGATCTTTGCGGGAGAGAAGCTGAAAGGTGGAACGCATAGCTGTACCTGGCCACTTCGAAGCTGGGGTTTTCCTCAAAGGCGAGGTACATTGTCGGGTCCAAGGTGAAACCAAGAACAGGATTAGCCCTGCAAAATAACAACCCACAGTTGAGAGTCTTGAATACAACATATCCAATCCACCAATCCATATTGTACCACAGAATGGCATCACTCAATATCTGAGGACTCTAACACCATAGCGTTTTGCTGAATGCCACAGATGTGGGACCTATGTCTCTTTTGTAGTCATTTGTAACACAGTGTACTGTTTGCAGCAACTGCCCTCTGACTGTTATGGGTCACCTTTAGCCAAGGTAGTCTACATTAGTTTGCTCTCCCACATATAGGGGAACTTGGAGTATCGAGGAAATGTTAAACTGTGCTCCCCTACAATCAAAGTAAAAGTCCAAATACTCCATGTGTTCTGGACCATATCCTCTCAACTGCCTTTCTTTATTGTTATTTCCCAGTGTCTCCACTCCTGCCATCTCCAACCATTTCCAGATTTGCCTCAAGACGGTGGCCAGAATCCTACTGGGGATATATGTCAAAGTAATTGTACTACGCATATGGATTAATTTTTTTGGATAATGTTGATATTAGCAGAAGTCGGTTTCAGCATCCAAAACCATTTCAGATGCACAATAAAGCCCCTAACATAGTGTGGAAACGTGCATTGCTCATTGTGCAATGAATGGCATCTACTATTTCTCATTTGCTGCAGTATAGTGGTACTCAGTTATGAATTATGTTGTGCTAACTTAATACAACTCTGTCAATGGATATTAATCTGTACTGAGATACTGTAGGTTCTAGCTGCCATGTGAACTTCCATTACCCCATAAGTCCAGCACAGAAACAGTTGAACAGATAGTTTTTTGACAAAGTCAGCCATGCAAAGCAGGTGAGCATCTGCTTCACCTTGCTCCAAGAATCAGAGTTGGAAGAGGCCACAAAAGCCACCCAGTCCTTCACAGGGCAATACAATAGAAACCTCCCCACTCCCTAATTTCTGGATGACAATTGTTCCTCCCTGCCTACTTCCCAAATCATACCCTTCTTTGTTGTACTGGTTGGTACCAGGGATAGCAGGCCCCTGCTGCATAGGACTTGCTGAGAATGTGTAAGCCACCTTCAGAGATTTGAGTGCTTTCATCTTCCTTGTATAACTGCAAAAATCAAAGAAAAAAAGTGGGGCTGGGTACAAGAATGATGCAGAATACACCAGAGAAAGTGCTATCTTCCTATGAGAATGCCACTGAGTTGGAAGCATGCTGCAGTCGTGGCTGCTATGTACATGATGCTTTTTCAGAAGTTAGCAACATTCAGCTCTGGAGAGTTTGCAAGAATTAATAGAAAGAGAGGAGTACTGGAGAAGGTATGTAAAATTTCTTTCAAAATAAAACTTAACAAATTTGGAGAAAGGCAAATGAGGCTTTTGTACCTTTTCTTCATGCCAATTACTGTCAAGATCATGATGAGGAAAAGGAGAAGCACACACCCAGCCAGTCCTGCAATGACACCAAGCAACATGTTCTCCTGGCTGGGTTCAGTCACGTCCACAGGACCCTGGGATAGACAAATATATCACTGCAAGTATCAGTATCTATAAGATGTTTGGTATATGCCATAGTCACCATTGAGGTGTGAGATATAGGGATATAGTCCCCATTTGGCTATATCTCATTGCTCCTTGCAAAGAAGAACCAAAGTTTAGACAACTTTTCAGGAATAATTTCTGGACCACAACTCCTAGAATCTCTCACTCAGCATGGGCAGTAGCCATGCTGGCTGGGGGATTCTGAAATCTGTAGTCCAAAAACGAACTTTTATGAATTCTGGGCAGAACACTGTAGTTCTTTTTGAGGCATATGCCTTCTCACAAAAATATGTGTTACCCAATAGCTAAGAGAGGATTTGTTGCCAGAGGTTGTTGCACTGCAACTCCGGCATCCATTACCACTGGCTATGTTGTCCGAGACTGCTAGAACAGTTGGAGGGCCATAGATCTTGCCCATGAGAGCTTTGGCAGCACTCTCCCTCAGAGAGACTCCTAGAGATGGCTCTTTGAGTTTAGGGATACTAACAGGACACATGTACTTACAATGAGTAACAGGCCCATGCTCAGCAGCTGTTTCAATTGCTCAGAGCTATTCTGGATGAGCCTGGAATGAAGAGTGTTAAGGTATTTTTCAGAAAGATTTTGACAGGCCCCCATTCTGTTGGAAATACAGTTGTTTAAACAGGCACACTTCTCACAACTATGACTTGCCCACAGATTATTCAGATTATGTGGACAGGGAAAGCCTGCAGTTTTACCTTTTGCATCATCTATCTTAGCTACTATTTCAAAGATGCATTTGGCCAAAAAGGAGAGTGGGGTACGTTAGATGAGGTTTGCAGATTTAATTTGTTTACCCCAATCTCTTGCTTCTCTTAATTTGCCAGTCCCACCTATTCTGTCATATAAGACATCTGCAAGATTATGTTGTTCAACCCGACCTTTAGCAATGTAGAAACTCCATTAGTATCTTCTGACATACAACCATTCATCCTGCTGTGTTCTGCTATTTCTTCCCTCTGCCCATGCTTTATGTGCCTGGCATCACTGAAACCTGTCACTTACTTGGTTACAAGTTCATCTCCTAGAGCTGTGCCATTCTTGTAGACGAAATAGGCCTCCATCACCGTTTCCCCTGAAGCTCTAAAGGACATGAGATAAAGGCATGTCAGATGGAAATGTTGGAGGTAGAAGGTGAGTTATTGCCCGGTTTGTCTTCCAGGCAATGACTTGACCACCCAAGTGGTCACTTTTCTTTGCAAAGACATTCAAATCCCAACGAATCGGCATAGCAGAACCACTAACATCATCTGCCATGCTGTGATTGCCTACAAGCATTCTCCAGATACCAGCTTTCATGTCTTTTATTGAATCTTCACTCTTCAAGCAAGCTGCCAGCCAGCAGTGTAAAACACTGCTGACACTAGTGCTACATGGCTTGGAAAATTTACCTTTTTGGACTACAAATCTAAGAATCCCACAAGTAATTGTGGCCATGGTAGCAAGAGGATCAGAAAAAAATAACTTTTCAGGCATTGGCCTGCCTTCCTTCCTTCCTTTCTTTCATTCACAGTATGGAAGACCTCATGGCAGTGTATAATAAAATACGTTTAAGACAAAAAACAAATTTTGAAAGACTAAACTATATTAAATGCATATTTAAAATACTTTATCATTTGTCACTTAAAAGAAGATAATTTAAAATAATGCTTATCACAGCACATGTGCAAACTGAATCAAATCATTTAGGCCCTAAAGGCTTTAATAAAAAGGCATGTTTGTACATGCCAACAGAGTTACACCAGCATTGTTGCCAATTGGGCCCCAGAAGGGAAAGTATTCCATAACCAAAGTCTGTGACATTGCAAGTGGGATGCATGGGGTGCATACTGCACTGGAGACACCGTTAGAGGAGGTGATACAAACCATGTGGATGGGGAGCGTTCAATGAGAACATTCACTGCAGAGAAAGACTGGAGGAGGACAGTGGGACCCTCAAAGCTCTCAGTAGCATGGATGGCAGGCCTCAGCTGACCAGTAACCACCCTGCTCTTTCCTGCTGCCACGGGCCACCCTAAGCTCTGCTGCTCCTGCTGCTGTGATAGCTGTGATTGCTGAGAGGTGTCAGAAATAAAATGGTGAGGGAGGAAATGAGCACTCAAGCAAGGATGAATATATTAGATGTATGTGCACACAATCTCAGAATGCAGGAGGAGCAGGGATGCAGTTGGAAGGTCTCCCGTTAAATATACCTCCTTGAGAACTGCAGGTGGGCACAGCTCATCTGTGTCTGGTCAGATACAGGAGGAGGTCTACCAGGGTGACACCATGAGTACTGCACTGGATGACACCAACATACTGACCAGGATGCCACAGCCAAGAAGGCCCTCTGTCCTCCACTCTTTCCCACTTCCCATTTCCTGCCACCAACCCTGTTGTCATGGTCACCTTTCTCACCTGAAGTTTGATGATGCCTCTTTGATTGATGATATGTAGACCGCTGAGTTGGTTGCTGTACGCAGAGCTCTGGAAGCAACCCAGGAAAAGAGACAAATTATCAACATATTCTAGCCCAGATAACCCACAAGATCCAGGCTGCATGCTTTCATCTCAGCTGGAGGTTATCCTAAAAACAGCTCTACTGCCACCACATGCTCTTTTCTTCTGTAACATATAGGTCACTCCTCACTCTCAGACAAAGAGATGACAGTGAGTGAGAATCCCTCTGTAGGTGTGATAAAGATAGAGAAGAGAAGAAATGGGAACCAGTGGCACAGGAAATGGGCATGGGAGGAAGCTACTTTTAGCCTCTAACCTTTGGAAAACTGAATCTACCTCATAAGGGAACAAAAACAAAATAAGTACTAAATTCTGAAGAGAGATTTGTACAACAATATGGTCAAGACCAGCTGCGTTGCACAGGGAAGGAGGGCCAGAATATATTGCTCTAAACAGACTCAACTTGATGTAACAGAATGCATTCCCTGCCTTTCCATGTAATATAAATCCTTCCAGAAAATATACACCCAGAGTGTCTAAGAGCATGTTAATAATAATAATAATAATAATAATAATAATAATAATCCTTTATTTGTACCCCGCTACCATCTCCCGAAGGGCTCGGTGCGGCTTACAAGAGTACAATGACTTTGTATCTAGAAAATCATCCGTACTTCACCCAACATGGAGACTAAACGAAAGACAAATATATGTGAATGAATGTGGTTTAAAAAAAAAACATTGCAGGGGATTTGACTCAGGTCTGCTCAAAGTAACTTCACCAAAGTAATTGGGGCATCTACTGGTTCTGTCCATTTGACCTACTCAAGATATTCCTAGCTGATAATCAGTAGTCTTGAAGGTCTCTCATTGCTAGAGATATCATAAGTCAAAGATAACAATTATAATGCACATGACTGTGTCCATATTCAGAAGAATTAACTGACAATAAGAGCTGTTTGATAGTAGCATATGCTGCATATGCTGTTTTTAAACAGAGAACTGATGGCCATCTGTCAGGAGTGTTTGGTTATGTGTTCCCTTATGGTCTTTTGCAATTCTCCGTTCTTACTCATGCCATGGCTAACTCTTCCAATCTGAAAGAACAATGCTATGTAAGTGCAAGATACATTGCAATCTCTTCAGTATGAAAATGGCTTAGAATGTAACACCAACCAGCCCAAAAGCTGGCTTACTAAGAATGACAAAGTTGGAAGGGGTTACAAAGACCATGTAGTTCAATTCCCAACCACACAGGAATATGCAGTTACAGCATTTCTGAAAGATGTCTCACCAATATCTGCTTAAAGGCTTCCATAGAATTACAAACAGAAGGCATGCTTCTTGACTTGGGTGATACAAAATATCTATATATATTTTTTTTTGGACTACAACTTCCAGAATACTGGTTGTGAATTTGGGAGCAGACATCTATGCTCTACCTCTCTATGCATTTCACCACTCCATCAGTAACAGAGTTATTCCCTTCCTGGTCCAGATTAATCCACTGAAAGAGAAGGAAAGGATACCATACATTTCAATTGCATTTGAGTTATCTTGCACTTCCTTCAACGTTGCCGAAAATTCTAGCTTGACACGGTAGGTCTGATCCACAGTAAAAATCTGGAAAGGAGAGATGATAGTGCTCAGAATCAAGTCATAATATATGTCTGCATTGTGGAAAGAAACTAGATAAACAAGAAAACAGTCATACATCAAGTGATTCTGAGGAAATTAGTGGAGGAATCCCATGGTCTTTGGCTTCCACAGTCACCTGGTATCGCCCTTTCAGTGAACCGTCAAGGTTGCTTGCAACTCTGAAGGAAAAGAGGCATTAGTGTCATATGGACTCTGTATCAACATAAAACAGACCTCATTCTCACTTTGGAGTATTCCTACAGGTGTGGATTTACTGACTCACTTCAACTGGGAAGTAGGTTATAGGGAGGTATGATGAATACTCCAATACTCTCTATTGGAGTATGTTAGTCTAACTGTTGGAAGTTACCCAATAATAACAGCAACAATATAATGGGTGTGTAAGGCTCCATATAGGACAGTTCTGTGGAAAGTATTATATCCATCCTCTCTGATCACTTATTGGACTTGACTAGAAAACAAGTTTGGGGGTCAGAGGAGAAACCCCAATAGGCAATAGACTGTGGATCAGAGGTTCCCTATCCTTCATGTTGAGTAAGTAATAGGATTGTACAGACTATGATTTAATGTTTTATGCTGTGACTCTTGCACCTCCAACCCCAATTTTTTTTAAAAATGCCCCCAAAATTCTCACATGTTTAAGGCAAAAACAGGGATAAATGGGCAAAGTTGGGGATATCAACTGTTCTTCTACAATCTGATACAGAAAAAAACATCCCTTGGAAAGTGAGCAGAAGCTGCTTTTGCCTGTTTAACAAAGTGGTCCTCAAACTTTGGCCCTCAGGGGGTTTTGGACTTCAGCACTCAGAAGTCCCAGGCAGCTTGGCCACTGGCCAAATATTCTGGGAGCTGAAGTCCAAAATGTCTAGGAGCCCAAAAACTGAGATCCGCTGGTCTAAAATACCACTTCTGTTTTTCACCAGGTTCACTGGAACAGCTCGAGGTTCCAGGGGACCCAAAATAACCCTTGAGGCAGGCCCACCCTGGCATGAAACATGTCAGTATATGCGCCCTCTTAAGTTTAAAGGTGGTCTTCATAAGACAATCACAGAAAATCAAACCCTTCAATTACTGGATGCTTCCAATGTAGAAGTCTTTTTCCGCTGTTGTCAGAACTTTGAAAAGATTTTCATAGACTCGCTCAGGTCCTGCGTCTGAGATGAAAACTACTCTGGAGAGTTCAAAGGTGATCACACTGTTCACACCTGAATCATCATCCTTAGCCTGGAGGAAGAAAGGAAACTATTCATGTTTGTCCATACATTTGTGAAATTCCAACTCCACCCTGCCACATTCTGAGAAGCAACTGCCATTTTTGAACACAGATGGGTTGCCAAATGAATACATGCACACATACATGCAACACTGCACTATCTTACCATGACCACAGCCACTTGGAAGCCTATTGGATAATCTGGGATTGCCACTGCAATGAAACATCAAACAAACAAGAGATGAGTGTACATGAAAGGGTGGAGTGGGATGACAATATTACCCATAGGACCAACTTCAAACAGCAGGCTATCTGGCTATGTTGAAATAATGGTTCCCTGGATGGGCATTTAGTAGCTCTGGCTAAGGGATGTTGGACAGAAACCTAATTATGCCTTTATTTGCAATGAAAAGGGAGGAAATATGGTATCATGAAAGAGAATATACCTTTCTCATCTGACTACTACTACAACTACTCACATTTTGAGAACTGCAATGAGTTAGGATTTATTAAAGATGCACTTGGATGCATCCATCTGCTTCAGATCCCAAAGAAATTGGCCTCTACCATTGAACAAAAGGAGTACTGTAGTTGAAATGGAAGAGACAAACTACAGAACCCTTGAAGCAAAATTAAATACTACTACCCCTGTCTATCCATCAAAGTGCAGTAATGCCACACCCTGACAACTGTGATCCTATTCTACACATTGCTCTCACCAAAGGTGCCAGTGCTATTCAGGAATACTGGTGGGTTGTCATTCACATCAACAATGAAAATCTTCAAGGTCTCTGGGGAGAAAAAGGAAGAGATTTAATTCATTTCCAGAGTTCTTCAGGCCTTCCTGTAGCCCCACAGTCAAACACCACACCTGTGCTCCCACTGAATAGGGCTAGCACTTGGAAAAGTTGCCTTCCTCAGCCACAAATCCTAGAATTTCCCAGCTACTGTAGTCACCAATTATGCCAGTGGGGAGTCCTGAGGTGGTGGTGGTGGTGATGATGATGATGATGATGATGATGATGATGATGATGTTTTACTGACACAAAAACACAGTATGTTACAGAAAGTGAGATATATATGCTGGATTTTGTATCACAAAACTACAAGTCAAACATTTCCCAAGCGTCTAGGACTGTGTGATGTATTTTTGAATGATGTGCGCAGATCCAAGTAAGGTGGCCTTTTGCAGTTGTCAGATCATGATTTTGTCAATGTTTATTGTTTCCAAATGCCAGCTGAGATCTTTTAGCATGGCACTCAGTGTGTCAATTACCACTGGGACCACCTGTACTAGTTTATGCCAGAGCTTTTGCAGTTCGATTTTGAGGTCTTGATAACAGTGAGTTTTTCCTGTGTTTTTCTTCAGTGTGACTGTCACCTGGTACGGCGACATTTTTCTTTTCCACAATCGTGATGTCTGGTGTATTGTGTTCCAAAACTTTGTCAGTCTGGATTCGAAAGTCCCACAGTATTTTTACGTGTTCATTTTCCATTACCTTTGCAGGTTTATAATCCCACCAATTCTTTACTACTGGCTGGTGATACTTGTGACATAAGTTCCAATGAATCATTTCAGCCACAGAGTTGTGCCTTTTTTTGTAGCCTGTCTGTGCGATTTTCTTGTAGCAACTGAGGATATGATCAATGGTTTCATCAGCTTCCTTGCATAGTCTGCATTTTGAGTCATCAGCTGATGTTTCAATCCTGGCCTTAATGGCATTTGTTCTGATGGCTTGTTCCTGGGCTGCAAGAATCAGACCTTCCATCTCCTTCTTCAGTGTTCCATTCGTGAGCCACAACCAGGTCTTCTCCTTATCAACTTTTCCCTCAGTTTTGTCAAGGAACTGCCCATGCAATGCTTTGTTGTGTCAGCTGTCAGCTCTGATTTGGAGTGCAGTTTTCTTATACTGATTCTTTGTCTGCTGTGCTTTGAGAAGTTTCCAATTACTGACTTCAATTAAAGCAGGCTTTTGGCTTTCCTTGACATATTCTGCCAGGGCGTGTTTTTCCTCTTCAACTGCTTGTTTGACTTGTAAAAGTCCTCTGCCCCCAGACCTTCTAGGCAGATCACTGCGAGGATGTAGTGAATTATGAATGGTCATGAGTTTTCTTGTTTTTCTGTCCAAATTGTCCAGTTCTGCCTGCGCCCAGTTTATGATGCCAGCAGTATATCTTATGACAGGTATGGCCCAGGTAATTATGCCTTGATAGTATTGCCTCCATTGAGCTTGCTTTTGAGAATTTTTCTGATTATTATTATTATTATAATTTTTCTGATGAGGATAATGATTATTATTATTATCATCTTTATTTACATCTCACCTTTCTCCCCATCAGAACTCAAGGCAGCTAACAATCACACAATCTAATAAAATTTTAAACAGAACAAATACAAAAAAACCAAACTATCAACTATTAATGCATGGACAAGAAATTAAAATATAATTAAAATGCAATACATACAGTTTCAATTACATTTAAAAGTCACCATTCCCCCAAAATCCCACCCACAAACTCCCCCTCATCAGCAGCATGCCCCTCATCATCCCCCAAATGCCTGGCAGTAGAGATATATCTTGACCTGCCTTGCAAAAGGCAAACAGAGATGGGGCCATCCTGGTCTCTCTTGGGGAGGAGTCACAAAGTCTGGGAACAGCCATCCACCAAATGCACTTGAGCAGGTGGTGGGACAGAGAGAAGGCCCTCCCCAGATGATCACAAATTTTGTAGAGAAAGATATAGTTCTTCACATAGGTTTAGTCTGAAATAATATTCTACAGTGGGATAACATTGCTTTGCCTGCACACTCTCAGCCAATGGTACAGGCAGGTGTCCTCCAGCATTAGCTAAAAGGAATTGTGTGTGGCTCTTTCAATGACTGCAGTGAGGGAAACTCTGTTTGAAAAAGGTAATGGCCTGGCAGCTGGAAACAGAACTCCAGTGGTTGCATTCCTTCTAGTCTACTTTCTGGGTTAGTGAAACTAGTAGAGTAGTACAGCCATACAGAAAAGAAAATAACACCATTGCACTCAAGCTTATTGGTAAACTGATGTGGCCACTCCAAACATCACAAAGTTCAAATGGGGATTTAAGGCAGATAGCAATTTGAGTGTATAGACTGGACAAGCTAAACCTTTCATTTTTCCCCTAAATCAACTTCTTGGCCACTGAGTTTTGGTTGATGGGTCTCCACCTCTTCTGGGGGGAAAAGGGGCAGCAGATTAATAATTTGGAGAGTAGGGAAAGTAGAGATAAGGAATGTTCACTTCCTCCTTCTATAATGTATTTCTCCACTCATCCTTACATTATAATTAGCTCAACAAAGCATGAGTTATGGAACTGCTACAGATAGCCACACCGTCATCTCAACTGTAGCAACAACTGTTTTGGTCAACTATGTTCCCAGGGGATGAGGCTTAATTTCTCAGCAGCTTTTCTATGCAATTTGCATTGCAATTCAACTGGAATGCATGGCAACAACAGTAAGCATGGCTCCCTCAAGCACAGCCTGCTAGTATAGAAAGTATGTGCTAACAGGAGAGATATAATAGGAAAGAGGGAATTTCAGTGGTCAGAGGAAGTAGAAGAGCAACTTTACATTTAGTTACTTTACCGTTTTTACTGTAGGGGTCTCCCATCTCAGTGAATTCATCCTTGACACGCAGGACAAGTTCTACAAGATCACAGACCTCATAGTCTATTTCTGTACTATTCACAAGAAGTGAGCCGTTCGACTCCAGGTGGAACCACTTTTGGCATATGTTGCTTGCACTGGCTGAGCCCTTGGAGCATGTGACAGATAACTCCTGGAATAGCAGTGAGTGGTTGGTATCCACATCAGTGGCCTCCAGTACAGCTACAACTTCATTCAGAGTGGCATTTTCCAACACTTCAATGCTTTGTGGGGGAGATGGCACCAAGGATGGGGACTCATCATTGACATCCAGCACATTCACTATCACCACAGCAGTGTCGACATCAACATGCCCCCCAAAGTCTGAGTTTTCAGCCTGCACAGTCAGATTGAAGAATTTTGGCTGCATCCGGTCATAGTCAAACTCAACGCCTGGACCTAAACGCAAATTTCCCTGGCACCAGCCAAATGTTTGGCAAATGGAGTTGATGAGAAAATTGTTGGAACCAACACTGCTTTCCACAATGAGGAAGGAGATACGGTTGTTAATATCTGTTTGATCAGCATCTGTGGCCTCCACACTTCCCACAAAGACACCTGGGAATGATGGACAGTTAATTAGAATAAATAAGCTTTCAGACATATTGATCTCCCTTCCCACCCCCAAGATCATATAAAGGAATGCAGCCTTTATTTTTTGGTTTCTCATGAAAGAGAATATCTGAAACCAGGAAATGTAGCCATAGGACATTTGCGTCCTAGTTTTACCATCTCTTTTTGTTCCAAATCTTCAAAACATTCTCAGTCACCTGCTACTTCAGCCTGACATTCTGGGCTTAATTCAGTGTACAGGTAATAACCTTATAAATGTAAGTAGCTAGGCCCAACATATTGGGAAAAAAGCATTCATGTTCCCATATGAATCATCTTGTTCCTTAATATGTGAGGTACGAAGTCTGTTCTGCGAGCCTTACATCCCAACTTTGTATCTGTGTGAAAGAGAACCTTTATAGGAGTGGCCTCTTTATCCTGGAAGTCTCCTCCTACTAAGAGTCTTGTCAAAAGAGGTCTGGTTGCTTTTACGAAGACCTGTAAGATGCTTCTATTCTAGAAGGCTTTATCTAATCTAGATTACTGTCTATTTTGAGCTGTTATTGATTATTATTGTTTAGTTCTGCGGGTTGAGTTCTTTTCTTTTTAAGACTCAACACGCATAGCTAATATCTCCCATTATGCTTCCATCCCCAATACATTAGTCCAATACATCCTGGTTTCCTTGAAATCTAAACCAACAATAAGGAGAGCACAGTACCTGACAATCCTTCTTGGACAGAGAACTCATAAAAGGAACTGTTGAATTTGGGTGCATTGTCGTTTACATCCTAGAGAGAAACAAAGAACTGTTTGCGGAGCAATGTTTTGTCCAACTGTTTATATCCAAGAGTCTGTGGGGAATATCAGCAAAATTGGTGAATGATGGGAAGGTAAGATGCAGGTTGTGGCATTCTAGAGATAGGCGATATAGAGCATGAGACCCCAATATCATGGCTAACCTGGTGCCACAAAAGGGGTGCCATGTCTAGGGTCAGGATTAGTCCAAGACATTTTCCTCCTCAAGGTGGAGCAGTAGTTGACACTCTAGTAAAGGTAAAGGTTTTCCTCTGACATTAAGTCTAGTTGTATCCAACTCTGGGGGTTGGTGCTCATCTCCCTTTTTAAAGAGCTGGTATTGTCCATAGACACCTCCAAGGTCATGTGGCATGGAGCGCCGTTACCTTCCTGCCGGAACGGTACCTATTGATCTACTCACATTTGCATGTTTTCAACTGCTAGGTTGACAGAAGCTGAGTCTGACAGCAGAAGCTCCCCGAATTCAAACTTGCAACCTTTCAGTCAACAAGTTTAGCAGCTCAGCAGTTTAACCCACTGTGCCACTAGGAGCTTCATAGTTGACACTCCACCACATCTCAAATCAAGGCACATAGTTCTTAATGTTAACCAAATCATTGAGGTAATGAGCCAGAACCTCCCACAAGTGCCTCTCTTTATTCCCTACCTGTGTGTTTTGCACATTTTCCCATAATTACCATCTTTGCCAGAATCCTGTTGTGGCTTAACACTGTAAAAATGTCAAAAAGTAAGCAGCTGCACTTTCACAGTTTGTGTCAGGCTGGCATCTTATTCAAGGCTGTGCATGGACTGTGACATACCATAAACTGTTATGTGAGCATTTGGATTGCCTTGGAGGTTCTGCAAGAGTAGTTTTTAGCAGTAGCAAGGACGTGGATCAGCTATTCTACAATATGAAGGTGGATAGCCATATCACCTTTTGGGCATTTGCTTGTGTAATGCAGTTAGCTCCAGTATATTTATACTGGTGATGAGTTGCCTTTGTCATCTGAACAGGGCTAAAATCTCTGTTTCAGCCCAAGCATCTCTTTTATGCATCCCTTTCCCAGGCAGCTCTTTTAAGCTTTCCCCAACACCCTGATGTAGGGAACCATTACCTCTACTAGGAAAGTGACATTGACAGTGGTGTTCAATTGAGGGATGCCCAAATCATGGACAAGTATCGTCACCACCACCTTGCCATTGAGCTCCAGAGGAATGGCCTCTCGGTCAAAAGGCCCCTTGCTTCTCAGGACCCCTGTATCTGGGTTAATAGTGAAATTGCTGCTGAATTCGCTTGGCAGAATCTCAAACTGCAAACGGCTATTATCCGTGTCTGGGTCATCCTTGTCAGTAGCCTGGGAAGAGAGGTGAAGGACTTGTTAGAAGATTGCTTCCCTGAGCTCCTAAATTCTGCTGTCTTGGAAAGAGACAATCTGAAGCATGGTGAAGAAATAGCATATTTTAGTCTTTAAGAAGGACAGAAACATAGATTATATGCAGGTGGTTTCTCAATGCTGCTATGAGTTTTCATTTGCATGGATGGATTTTTATCTCCCCTCGCCCCCCAAGGCTATGGACTCTAGGATTATTGAGGCAAGGATCGCTGAAACCCTGGTATCCAGTGGGTTTGGTTCCAGGAACCTCCATGGTTACTCAAGGCCCTTTATAAAATGGCAAAATGATGGTTTGCTTTTGGGACTCTTTTCCAATAATTTCAAGCTGTGGATGGTTAAATCCATGGATACAGAATCCATGGATATGGAGGGCCAGCTGTATGTAACCACAGAGGAAACAGAGAAGTACACAGAGAATCCAGACCCTCCTTTTCTCTGTTCCACCAGGCATGGCCAAGGCATTTTCTCACTCCTTATTGTAACTTATTGGTGTGGAAATGTGGTTCACCTAAAACCCACCACTGGCCATGATATGCTGATATGAATTCTCAGAAACTTAGAGCTTCACATCACATCAGAGATACTACATTCTCTTCATCCAAGTGGAATGGGATGTTTTTGCCTTACCTGGATCTCAACAGTGATATTGTCCTGACCCTCACTGACAATGACATTATAGGAGCCTGTAACAACTGGAGCATTGTTGTTGATATCAATCACTGAGATTTCCAGTTGTGTAGTGCCAGTCAAGTTGCCCCCATCTGTTGCTTGTAGGGTGGCATAGTAGACAGAGCGTATTCCCCAGTCCAGTTTACTGCCATTTGCCACTAGGATCGTCCCACTGATTTCATTAACTGTGAAAGTGGACAAACTGCACAACAGAAACACAGATGGAGTCTTAGGCTTCATATATTTATTGTCTCAAGCGCTGAATGGAGTGAACTGAAAATTTATTTATTTACTTATTTATTTACAGTATTTATATTTCACCCTTCTCACCCCACAGGGGACTTAGGGAGGATTACAATGTACATAAACATGGCAAACATTCAATGCCATAGACACACCACATATATAGACAGACACAGAGGCAATTTAACATTCCAATTTTTTCATGAGGGTATTCTGGCCACCAGGGGAGCTGTTGCTTCACCGTCCATTTATGAGACTGATGAAGTACTTCCTCATTCTTTGCAGGCTTGCTGGAGATTTTTATGGCATCATAAATTAGTTAAATTAGCCTCCCCGTGTAGGCGGTACCTAAATTTCCTACTTGACAGATGCAACTGTCTTTCAGGCTGCAAAGCTCGACAGCAAGCTACACAAATTGGTCGGACACTCACTCCAACCCGGGCTGGCTTTCGGTCAGTAGTGATCTTAATGCAGCTGACTCCCAGCCAGCTGCGCCACAGTCCCATCATGCTGATCATGTGGGCTGGGTAACTGGAGTTTAGTCCAATATGTCCAGAAGATAACAGACTGAGGGAAAATTCTCTTATGGCAATCCCCTCCCAGCAAAAGAGGGCCTACACCATTACCCTCCTCCTGCTCTTATAGCATCTGGAGATACATACATGCTTGCCGGCAACAATTGGTAGGTGATTTCTCCATAGAGTCCACTGTCTGGATCAGTGGCCTGTAGAGAGAGAGAAAGCCAATCCTACTCACTGTTCATTTGCAGAGCTAATTCTGAGAAGGTTCTGCAGCTTCTCTAAAAATACTGCAAAATTTACCATTTTGGACTACAATGCCCAGAATCCTCCAGTCAGCACTGAATTGATAGTTGTGAAATTGAGGTATAGAGGACACCCATGATGAGTGCTCCAAAAAGTGGTCTTAAAGCACTTGATCCTATGATCCCACCCAAAAACAACTCTGTATCTCCACCCCGACATCCACTCATGGCCCAAAGGGAGCTATGGAGTTTTCTTTCTTACGGTGATGTTTGAAGAAACAACAGTGCCTGGTGGGCTCTCCTCTAGCACAGAAAGCTTGTAGTCACTCTTCTTGAACTCAGGCCTGTGGTCATTGATGTCAGCAAGATGGATGGTAACCGTGGCAAAAGAGCAGCAATCAGTTGCCCTTCCAGTGTCATTTGCAACTATCTGCCAAGATCAGAACAATTAACCAAGTCATTAAGTTGCACCCCAAGCAAATTCACCCATGTACATCAACAGAGCAGACTCCACCACACTCAGACCCATCGTTAGTGCCATTGGATCCCCCACATACGATTTACCAAAAAAATTTGGCTGCACAGTTACAAACCCATATTGGGCTCACTGCGCACTACATCAAGGACTCAGCCCATTTCATAGAAAAAATCAGCAACCTCAAGCTCAATACCAATGACAAACTGATCAGCTTCAATGTGGTGTCTCTATTTACCATGGTCCTGGTAGCAGACAACATTGCACTAATCAACCAGAAGTTCCCAGAAGACATCACAGCTCTGTTTCACCATTGCCTCACCACCAGCTACTTTCAGTGGGACAATGAATTCCATGAACAGAAAGATGGAGTAGCTATGGGGAGCCCTCTCAGCCTGGTCATAGCAAATTTCTACATGGAACACTTTGAAAAACAAGCCCTGGAAACAGCAACAAAAAAACCCACTATATGGTTCAGATATGTGGATGACACCGTCACCATTTGGAGCCATGGGGACGAAAAGCTAAACAGGTTACTAAACCACCTTAACAGCATCCACCCAAACATCCAATTCACCATGGAAAAAGAAAATGAAGGAAAACTGCCTTTTCTAGATGTCCTCGTCATCCGCAAACCAGATCGACAATTGGGTTGAACAGTTTACAGAAAACCTACACACACAGATAGATACTTACATAAAAACTCCAACCATCACCCAGGTTAATAAAAAAAAAAAGCATTATTAAAGCCTTGGCAGACGATGCAAAAAGAATCTGCGAACCCCACCTCCTCCAAGATGAACTGAACTACCTAAACTGGGCTTTACAGGCCAATGGATACTCCACCTCAGACATCAGAAGAGCTGCAAGACCAAGAACAAGCCATGAGAGTAGCTCCAGCCAGAGGAAAAGTGTGCTTGCCATACATCAAGGGAACCACTGACCGCATAGGGAAGCTGATGAGGAAACACAACCTACAAACTATCTACAGACCCACTAAGAAAATCCAACAAATGCTATGTTCAGCAAAGGACAAGAGGGATCCTCTCACCTCTGCAGACACCTACCATATACCATACAGCTGTGGACAAGTCTACATAGGGACCACCAAACGCAGCATTGCCCAAACATGAATCAAGGAACATGAAAGGCACTGCAGACTACATCAACCAGAAAAGCAGAGCACCAGATGAACCAATCCAGACACAGCATATTATTTGAGAACACAGAAATGTTGGACCACTCTAACAACCACCATGTCAGACTACACAGAGAAGCCATTGAAATCCGTAAGCATGTGAACAATTTAAACAGAAAGGAAGAAACCATGAAAATGAACAAAATCTGGCTACCATTATTTTAAAAACTCTAAAACAACTTTCAAACACAGGGGAACTCCAGACAGGAAACATTCAGGACAGCTAATCACCTCTCAACAAAGGATTCCCCCAGGCACTAACAAGACACACCTAAAAAAAATTCACATCACCTGCCACTCCTTCCCTGTCGCTGATCAGACCTGCATCCTTGGAAAGACTACATCAACTCTCAATTATTGGTTCTTTGTGGGTGAGTAGATGGCAACTACTGGATGGCATATGTTTGGTATTAGAAACTAGAGCTGATGTGGTCTATCCAATGCAAGAATTAAAATATGGACCGTGGCCTCACTGTTACTACACCATTGCAACAAGAGCGACTGGTCTCGCAAAACCCTCTTATAGTGCCAAGGCTTATTGAATATGTTTTTCTGTGGGTGAGCAAATGGCGACTACTGGATGGCATATGTTGGGTATCAGAAACTAGAGCTGATGTGGTCAATCCAATGTAATTTTCTGAATCAGCACCCCAAATATCCAAACCGAATTTAAAGTTGACCAAAAACTGATTAGTAACCCATTTGCTACTGATGTTGGAGAGTGGTCCCTGGTCAAGTGGTCCCTGGTCAAAGCAGTTCCTCGTCAAAGTAGTCCCTGGTCAAAGCAGTCCCTGGTCAAAAAAAGGTTGGGAAATACTGTTTTAGAGAGAAAGCTGCCTGCAAAGGCAAAGGGTCTACCTTTTTGTTTCTCTCACCTCCACAGTCATAGTTGATTTCTTCTCATAATCCACAAGACTTGGTTGCCTGACTAGAACCTGCACAGCACCTTCATTCACAATCTTCTGTGGTGACACTGAAAAAGCCAAGGCATCCGGGCCCTGCAAAGACAGCTGGAAGGTGCCATTGGAACCCTGGTTGGAGAAAAAGGCAGAGGGACACTGAAGCAGGAAGCTTTTCACATAGTTTGTGAGCCAGAAGGAATCATGTTTTACCACCCAGGAGAATGAAGACTCAGTGTGGGGTTTTTAAAGCTCAGGATCTCCCTCTGTTTTGTTTATTATTTGCTTGTTTGTTTGGTTGCAAGCTTTGGAAATGGCAGACAGGTTACACCACTGCACACCTTCTGTTTGCTTCCTTGGTGTTTGCACTGCATTTTTAATCATAACGCTTCATTTGTAAAGTGAGGTCTCAAGCTCCTATCCAAAGAGCTTCTGAACAACTTTCCAGACTGTGTGTCGTGACACATTACTGTGTCAATTGCAGTGTATAGGAGTGTTGCATGAACATAAGGAAGAAATGTCAAAAATCTTGGAAATGTATGTTATTATCTTCCAAATCATATATTTTTAAAATATAATTAAAAGGTTTTTATGAGATATGTTTTGTCCCCATACATTTTGTTATTACAATTTATGAATGTGTCCATATTGTTTCTAAGGGATTGGTTTAACCTCCGGTTTGCTAGAAAAATGAATCCCTGTGCCATGAAATGATGAATGTCTAAAAACATGTCACTAACATGAAATGTTTGGAAATCTTAGATGAACCCCTAAATTAAGGGTAGGGATCGTGTCCCTTTACTGCAAATCCCATTAGCCCTAGTCAATGCAGAACAATGCTAGGAGTTGGAGTCTAACAATTTCTGGAGGGCCACGTGATTCCCACTGTGGCCCTAAATCAATATACAAATGCACCAGAAAAGTATGATGAAACAAGCTGAGATATGTGTTGTTGAAGGCTTTCAGGGCCGAAATCACTGGGTTGCTGTGAGTTTTCTGGGCTGTATAGCCATGTTCCAGAAGCATTCTCTCCTGATGTTTCACCCACATCTATGGCAGGCATCCTCAGCGGTTGAGGGATCTGTTGGGAACTAGGCAAGTGAAGTTTATATATCTTTGGAATAATGTCCAGGGTGGGAGAAAGAACTCTTGTCTGCTTGAGGCAGGTGTGAATGTCCTTTCTCCCATCCTGGACATTCCACAGATATATAAATCCCACTTGCCTAGTTTCCAAAAGATCCCTCAACCTCTGAGGATGCCTGCCATAGATATGGGGGAAACGTCAGGAGAGAATGGTTCTGGAACATGACCATACAGCCTGGAAAACTCACAGCAAACAAGCTGAGATACTTTCATTAATTTTTAGATGAGCATTCAGAAAAAGTAATTAAGACCAGTTGGAACAAAGATGTTCCAGGTGGCAAATCGGTTAAGCGGGCAGAAACTCCCTGGGCCATTAGCAAACGAAACTGCTAATGTCTATCCCAGCATTTAATATGAATGTCCTGATTTGATCAATGACGCAAGAGATTAAGAATAAGGTCCCTGCAGCATACTTGAAGAATTGAGCAAATGAGCAACTGATAAATCCAAAGATATGCTTTAAAATGTAATGAGAATACAGAGAAAATACATTTTGGGGCTGTTAACAACAAATTTCGCTCTGTAAATCTTGCAAGCTCACAAGATGGTGTCGATAGTTCAAATAAAAGTTACTTTTTGACTTTAGGTCCCAAACAACATGGCCAATAAAAAATAATGTATCCAAGCTCTGGGTATCAGTGAGAAGCAATGGGGACAGCTGTTCCTTGGAAGACATCAACTATTCTTTTTATCTTTTATAGAACTACATTGTAATATGTATGTTTATAGAATTCTTGCAATGTTTGTGTGTTTTGACTGTGCTGTGACCTGCCTCAAGCCATGAGGAGAGGCGGGTAAGAAATACAATGATTATGATTATGATTATTTGGAACACAACAAGTTTAGTACACAGCAAACAAGGTCACTATGCTGGCTGTTGTATCGGATCACATGTCGGACACTTCCCGAGTGTCTAGGACTGTGTGATGTATCAGTGAATAATGCATGCAGATCCCAGTGGGGTGGCCTTTTGCAGTTGAGAGATGGTAATTTTGTCAGAGTCGATTGTGTTTAAGTGCAGGTCAAGGTCTTTAGGCACTGCACCCAGTGTGCCGATCACCACTGGGACCACCTTTACTGACTTGTGCCAGAGTCTTTGCAGTTTGATCTTAAAATTCTCATATCATGTCAGCTTTTACAGTTGTTTCAATCCTGCTGCTGCTGTTGTTGTTAGGTTAGGTTAAGGTTTCCCCTGACATTAAGTCTAGTCATATCCAACACTTGTGGGGTGGTACTCATCTCCATTTCTAAGCTGAAGAGCCGGTGTTGTCTGTAGACACCTCAAGGTCATGTAGCAAGCATGACTGCATGGAGTGTTGTTACCTTCCCGCCAAAGTGGTACCTATTGGTCTACTTGCATTCGCATGTTTTCAAACTGCTAGGGTGGCAGAAGCTTGGGCTAACAGCGGGAGCTCACCCCGCTCCCTGGATTCGAACTGGCAACCTTTTGGTCAGCAAGTTCAGCAGCAGCTCATCATCAGGGGTTAAATTATTATTATTATTATTATTATTATTATTATTATTATTATTATTAAACTTATTTCCTTGTAATTCTGCCTTGGCATTGACCCCATCCACAGGATGTTCAACTATGATGATGTTGGTGATGATGTTTATTATTATTTATAGCCTGTTTTTTCTCCTTACAACAGAGACTCAAAGAGGCTCACAATAAAACCAGTGAGAGACCATTTAAAACCTCACCTCCTGCTCACCTTGTCAGGATCATAGGCTGCGATGTTGAGCTCAGCCACTGGTGTTCTGGCAGAAGCATGCTCCTCAATATCCCCAGTGAAGTTGTCCTCTGGAGGCCCTGTGAAGTTGCAAGCAGGGTAATCACACCAGTAGAACTGAGGTGTATTGTCGTTGATGTCCGTGACCTGGATAGTGACAATGGTGCTGACTTGTGCCACCTGGTGGTAAATGTTGAGGTTTCTTTCTCGAGCCTGAATATTGGAGCAAGAGAGACAAATGAAGGCCTTGTGGAAGAGTGTGCGCCTGTGGATGGGGGAGGCTCCCGCTTACCAGGATTAGCCTGCTACTCACCACAACCTGGAGCTGCAACTCCTCGCCTGGAACACCCTCTCGGTCCAGGTTGCCACTCACAGAAATGACCCCTGTGGTATTGCTGATAGTAAACAAGCTAGTTGTATCTAGAAAAGAGGGGGAAGAGGAAAATATCTCCTGAGCAGACAGTAGATTTCTTAAGAAGGAGAGGAAGACAAAAATGTAACATTTAATAATCATCATCATCATCATCATCTTTATTTATATCCCACCTCCTCTCCATAAGGACTCGGGGCTACTCACAACAGAATCAAGTCACAATATATATATATATTTGCAGAGAGCCAAGACTCCAGAGGACAGGAGCAGAATTCAAAATGATATTGACAGATTAGAGAGATGGGCCAAAACTAACAAAATGAAGTTCAACAGGGACAAATGCAAGATACTCCACTTTGGCAGGAAAAACGAAATGCAAAGATACAGAATGGGGGACAATGCCTGGCTCGAGAGCAGTACAGTGAAAAAGATCTTGGAGTCCTCATGGACAACAAGTAAAACATGAGCCAACAATGTGATGTGGCGGCAAAAAAAGCCAATGGGATTTTGGCCTGCATCAACATGAGCATAGTGTCTAGATCTAGGGAAGTAATGCTACCCCTCTATTCTGCTTGGTTAGACCACACCTGGAATATTGTGTCCAATTCTGGGCACCACAATTCAAGAGAGATATTGACAAGCTGGAATGTGTCCAGAGGAGGGTGACTAAAATGATCAAGGGTCTGGAGAACAAGCCATATGAGGAGCGGCTTAAGGAGCTGGGCATGTTTAGCCTGAAGAAGAGAAGGCTGAGAGGAGACATGATAGCCATGTATAAATATGTGAGAGGAAGCTACATGGGGGAGGAGGAGGGAGCAAGCTTGTTTTCTGCTTCCCTGAACATTAGGAAGAGCTTTCTGACTGTGAGAGCTGTTCAGCAGTGGAACTCTTTCCCCTGGAGTGTGGTGGAGGCTCCTTCTTTGGAGGCTTTTAAACAGAGGCTGGATGGCCATCTGTCAGGGGTGATTTAAATGCAATATTCCTGCTTCTTGGCAGGGAGTTGGACTGGATGGCCCATGAGGTCTCTTCCAAGTCTTTGATTCTATGATTCTATGATATGCTGTGAGCCGATCTGAGTTTGCTGTTAGCTGTTCTGAGTCCCTCTATGGAGGTAGAGAAGAACGGGATAAATAAATATAATAAATAACCATAAGGACAAGACAGAATATATAACAAAAAATCATAAACACAAATTTAAAACAATATCACAATAAATAAATACATTGCTTAAAATTGCACTGGATTTAAACAACATATTGCACCGCAGAGGCAAAAGCACTTTAAAACCAACAGTTTAAAACATTTCCATTCTCCAGACAGTTCCTATTAACTGCTTTCCCTTTAGACTTCAGAAACAAAGGAGCTCCTTCAAGGCAACCTTCCTAAAGCGCCTTCAATGCTTTCAAATTGGGCTTCTGCCCTCCCTTCTTTCCTTAGAATCATAGAATCATAGAGCTGGAAGAGACCTCATGGGCCATCCAGCCCAACCCCCTGCCAAGAAGCAAGACAATTATGTTCAAAGCACCCCCGACAGATGGCCATCCAGCCTCTGTATCAAAGCCTCCAAAGAAGGAGCCTCCACAGCACTTTGGGATAGAGAGTTCCACTGCTGAACAGCTCTCACAGTCAGAAAGTTCTTCCTAATGTTCAGGTGGAATCTCCTTTCCTGTAGTTTGAAGCCATTGTTCCACGTCCTAGTCTCCAGGGCAGCAGAAAACAAGCTTTCTCCTTCTCCCCTGACTTCCCCTCACATATTTACCCATGGCTATCATATCTCTCTCAGCCTTCTCTTCTGCAGGCTAAACATACCCAGCTCTTTAAGCCTCTCCTCATAGGGCTTGTTCTCCAGACCCTTGATCATTTTAGTCACCCTCCTCTGGACACATTCCTTCCTTCCTGATGGCAGTGGGGGTGTAATCTGCCTGGTACTTTCAGCATGCTTTCCAAGATGTGAAACTCTATCCCTTCAAGTGGGTTCAGCATCTTGAATAGTTCCCTTACATTTCAGACTAAAACCCAGAGTGGATTCACTGAACCACCTCCTCTGCTCTGGTGACAATTCTGGAAGTATCCATAGTCTGTCACAGGGACATACACAAACAACTGGAGAAGAAGTATCCTGGCAGAAGATAAGATGGCATCTTGAAGGAAATTGATAGAGCAAGCCTTATGTGGCCTTGCAGCAGTCATACAAAACATGTAGGCAAGGATGTCCTATTCAGCAAAGGAGATGTTGGCTACAGTATCTGTAGAAGGCCTGGTTGAGTAAAGTGTTCTCTGCAGACAAAGAATCAATGCTTTGTACAGGAAGGGTGGCTTGGAGAACCATAACAATAAATAATATGATTTTTTTTTTTAAAAAAAAACTTTATTTGTGTTCTGCCCTATCTCTCCAAGGGGACTCAAGGCAGATTCCAACAAACAAAAAGGCAAACATTCAATGCTGTAACAGGACCATAAATACAAATACAAAATACAATAACAACCCTACCAAGTCCCAAAGTGAGCCGACATCTATAGTCAAATTAAACTTGCAACCTCAAATTAAATAGTAGCATAGCCGATCAAGTAACTTAACTCAACATAAAAAACATCAACGTAGAAATCAATTTACAGATTGAATTCTATGGGTGAACCAGAATGGGTGAGATGGACAGTGATGCTATTTTCTACATGGACACCACATTTGGTCACAAGGCACATGATGTGTACAAATCCACCAAAGTGTGCTTGGTTGGAATAGGATGTTTATGTTACATGTTATGGCTAATTATATGCCAGCAATCGCAATGAGAATGACCAGAGACCCACTAAGATTTAGGAGGGACAGAAACCGAAACCGATTTCCCCAGCTACACTTCTGTCAAGATGTCCACACCCATTTATGCAAAGACATGATACTCCAGCCCTAGACTACAGGAATCCTAACCATGGTCTTGCTTGATAGCTCATTCCCCATCTCTCTGCAATCCCCTTGCCCTCCCATTACTCACTGGTGATGCTGTAATAGATAATATCATTCACATCCTTGTCTCCATCAATGGCAGTCACCTGGACCACAGATGTACCCTAGAATAAAGAAAGTCACAAATAAAAGAAATGCCTATTTTGTGCTACCCATATCAAGTTGGGGGGGGAGCCATCTCCCCTATAATTAAATTCAAATTAAACAGTGGGTTCTTAATCAATGGAGCTAGTAAGAAAACAGACCAGACAGAAGAATTGTGAACTAGTGGTGGTGTGCTAATAGCTTTCAAGAGCTCTCACAGTACAGCAGGTTGTATCCCATAGTTTGTACTGGGAACTGAGTTAAACCTGTCTACAATAAGATGTGGTTTATTCTCACAGTATGAGTCACATCAGATATCACATTGTTTCTTTTCTCACACTGCTTGGTTGCAAGATAGACTTTCTAAGAACTGCTGACTTAAAATACATGGTTTCCTGTTTAGGTAATGGAGGGCTATTAAATACCATATACTTGCTACACATATAACTCCAAATCCTACTGTTGCTCCAGGTATAGTAGATTAATTGAATCAATTTATTTCAGTTTCTTTAAGTGTTAACATAGTAAATTACCACTGATTCAGTGCAGCTCTTCTACCTGAGACTAACGATAGTATTCAGGACGTATATAAACACATGTTGACAATTGCACACATACACTCTAAGTTTTAATGCAATGCCCATCCTACAAAGGGTATTGCATTGCAACTTTTCTATAACAGAAACTTCAATTTTTTTCTTTTGAGGGGTGACCCCCCACCCCAAGAAACCCAAAAGTGATCCTTACCAAGGGGCTGTTCTCTGGTACTGAGCCTATGTATGGCTCTCCCAAAAACTGGGGGTCCAGGTCAGGCACATCAACAACCGTCACAGATAGGTAGGCTGTATTGTTCTGATAGATAAATGCACCATTCAACAATCCCCCACCATCCTGGAGATTAAAAACAAAAACAAACAAGGATAACTTGAGTATCTTGTCATGCTTCACCTATTCCAGGGCTGGCCATATTGTGGGAATCTAAAAGACATTTTTCAGAACCCTCCAAGGGAAGTCCCACCCCCAGAAAACAAAACAAGTTTCATATCACTACCCCCTTTGGAGAGGTGAAAAAAAGCATGGGAGGCCTTTCTTATTTTTCTGGGGATTAGTGATTCTGGAGGCCCCCAGAAGTGACACATCTGTGTGTGAGAGAGAGAGAGACAAAGAGAAAGGGAAGTCAATGACATATCTAGGGACATAGAGAATATATAGGAGTGCATGTCATCATAGGCAATCACTTGTGACCCAGCATGATTGTCTTCCAAAGTTAAAGTCTTGGTGATAGATCCATCAGTGATAGTGAAGACCTGTTCTGGATCCACATGGTCTTTCACAATGAGGATATATATTTCCAGATGTAAGGCAGTCACAACAAGGGTTTGCTTGAGGCACCTTCTTCTTGGCATGTTTTCCCCTTTGCCCTCTATTCATACCTCTTCAAAGGACCTTATCCCATTTTGGGGGGGGGGGGGGGTTAGCATCATCTAAGTGTGGTGTTTAGTAGTGGAGCATTGTGCAAAGAAGCCAGAATGGATGTCCAAAGAACTTCTAACTGTGCTAAGACACAAAAGAGACATGCACAAGAAGTGGAAAAAGGGAGAAATCACCAAAGAAGAATTCAAACAAATAGCAACACCTGTAGGGAAAAGGTCCGCAAGGCTAAAGCAAAAAACGAGCTCAGACTTGCCAGGGACATTAAAAACAATAAAAAGGGCTTCTATTCTTATGTCAGTAGAAAAAGGAAAAACAAGGAGGCGATAGGACCTCTTCGCGGAGAAGATGGGGCAATGCTGACAGGGGATAGGGAAAAGGCAGAACTACTTAATGCCTTCTTTGCCTCAGTCTTCTCACAAAAAGAGAGTCTTCAACCTCAGCAAGATGGAGTGGATGAGGGATTGGAGGACATCCAACCCCAAATTGGGAAAGAAGTCGTCCAGGAATACCTGGCCGCTCCTAATGAGTTCAAGTCCCCAGGGCCAGATCAACTACACCCCAGAGTATTGAAGGAACTAGCGGAAGTCATTTCGGAACCATTGGCAACCATCTTTGAGAGTTCTTGGAGAACGGGAGAAGTTCCAGCAGATTGGAGGAGGGCCAATGTGGTCCCAATCTTCAAGAAGGGAAAAAGGATGACCCAAACAACTACTGTCCGGTCAGCCTCACGTCGATACCAGGCAAGATTCTGGAAAAGATTGTTAAGGAAGTGGTCTGCAAACATTTAGAAACAAATGTGGTCATTGCTAATAGAAACATGGATTTATCAAAAACAAGTCATGCCAGACTAATCTGATCTCTTTTTTCGATAGAGTTACAAGCTGGATAGATGTGGGGAATGCCGTGGATGTAGCATACCTGGATTTCATTAAGGCCTTCAACAAGGTCCCCCATGACCTTCTGGCAAGGAAACTAGTCCAATGTGGGCTAGGCAATACCACGGTGAGGTGGATCAGTAATTGGTTAAATGGATGAACCCAGAGGGTGCTCACCAATGCTTCCTCTTCATCCTGGAAAGAAGTGACGAGTGGAGTGCCGCAGGGTTCCGTCCTGGGCCCGGTCCTGTTCAACATCTTTAATAATGACTTAGATGAAGGGCTAGAAGGCATGATCATCAAGTTTGCAGACGACACCAAATTGGGAGGGATAGCCAATACTCCAGAGGACAGGAGCAGAATTCAAAACGATCTTGACAGATTAGAGAGATGGGCCAAAACTAACAAAATGAAGTTCAACAGTGACAAATGCAAGATACTCCACTTTGGCAGAAAAAATGAAATACAGAATGGGGGACGCCTGGCTCGAGAGCAGTACGTATGAAAAAGATCTTGGAGTCCTCGTGGACAACAAGTTAAACATGAGCCAACAATGTGATGTGGCAGCAAAAAAGCCAAGGGAATTTTGGCCTGCATCAATAGGAGCATAGTGTCTATTATTATTATATCTTATTATTTTGTTGTCATTGTTTGCTTTCTGCTAGAACTGGGCTATAGAAAGGGAAGTTTGGCAACAGGATTTAAAACAGGCCTAAATTTGATTGCAAATACCTTCTAGAGAAGTTCCATTAAATCAATGACTTAATTGTAAAGTATAATGCATATAAATCCCATTGATTCAGTGGATCACCTGTAGGCGCAACTAACAAATGTATTTAGCCCCAAATTGCCTTCTTCATTTGAACACAGGATCAGCCTGTGGTATCATTCATTCTCTTTGGGAAAGCCCTTAATTTTGAAAAGGGTCTGGCAGTTCCTTCTACCCCGAATTACAATTTGTCCTACCCATAGAGAACAATGCCTGCACATTAAATAAAAAATCCTTCCTGGTAGGAAGCCACTTTCTTTTGACTTTTAGAAATGAAATTGTCAGTTGTGTTAAATGTAATCATATATGAATCATCTAATGCAACTATAAAGGTAGAAAACCAAAAAGCAAGGGCATGAAAGCACTGCTAAAAATAGGCACTGATGTAGGAGAGGCTACTTACCATGTAAATCTCATTCCCTTAAAAGACAGTTTGGTTAATTCAGTGCTTGAATTATGAGAGAGATTTTAGGGAAGCCATTTATGAAGTACACCAGTCACAACCCCAGGTCCATCTAGCTTCGGCTAAATCATATTCCAATAGTTTTCAAAAAATATTATTGAAGGGACCATCAGAAAAGGTAAGAAAGGACTGAAAAGCCCTTGCCCTCATCTAATCTGAATAAGTGATTACTGGGTGCATCTAGAAGCCACGGTCTTGCAAGATCTTCTTTTTCTGGTATACACTGCACAAATAGGAAGAACCAAGCTTCCCTTCCCTCTAAATCATTTACTTCCTGATTGTTATTGGCTGAGCCTCACCTTGGCGAGGATCTCGATACGGTAAAAGGTGCTCTTGTTATTATAGCTGAGTGAACCATTCAGCACCACAGTGCCGTTGTAGAGGATGTTGAAGAGCTGGTGATTTTCCGCATTGTTGGGGTTGACCTGTGGATGGCATACAAGGAATACATGTGAAAGAACACAATTCTGAGGCAAGGTCCTAAGGGTGTTCTAAGTCCACTGCTGGTCATGCTTATTGATTTCTCACATATATCCATGCCTAGGGAAAATACCTCTTTCTCAAATCCAGGTTGGCTAAGACACATTCTAGATCAGAAATCATCAACTTTTTTTAGGCCAGTGGGGACATTGGAAATCTTGATAGAGTGCTTTGGATACTTTCACAGGATGGGCTCACATCACACTTTCACCCTATGGGCAATCTCACAAGATGGTTGCATATGACATTCCTAACGTGATTGCCACGGAAGGCAAAAAGCACCTTTTCCAAAAGGCAAACTGATTAGTCCAAGAGAAAGGTAACTTCCCCAAGATTGAAAATGCAAGGCAGAGATGTGTTTTGACCTCCAAAACACAAAACCATTCTTTAGAACCCATAGTGTACATATTTCATTGAGGCAAAATGCCACATATGAAAGAGAAATAACCTGGCTAAAAACCTGGATCTAAGGCTGAGATAGAATCAGAGCCTCAAATTGAAATAATAGATTTACTACTATAAATTGGCAAAATATTTGTTCTCTACTAAGAAGGAGCAGAGAAGTGACACACGCACACAGAAATCACATGTAATATCACAGCATGCAAAGAGGCCTCTTAATATACATCAAACACATTTACATGTGGACACAGAAATACTTCAGAGAAAGAACGTATTGTATATGCAGGAAAAACATTCAATTTGCTCCCTCCTATGTACTTTCTTGGCTATTCAGTATTCTTCCCTTCACCTCCTTCCTTCCTTCCTTCCTTCCTTCCTTCCTTCCTTCCTTCCTTCCTTCCTTCCTTCCTTCCTTCCTTCCTTCCTTCCTTCCTTCCTGGGATACTGTACTCACAATATTAATTTAGTAACATTTATTGAAATAGTTATATCCCCCCCATATCTGAAAATCTCAGAATGAAGTACTGGGTTCCAGCCTTCCACGATCTTTCTCTAGTGTTCCTCCATGGCTCATGTGTGGCACAAAGGCTTTGTTGGAAACCAAGATGACATCTGAGGCCAGCATCTGTTTTGAGAGGCAAGAAGTGTAGAGCAGTGGTTCTCAACCTGTGGCTCCCCAGGTGTTTTGGCCTACAACTCCCATAAATCTGCGCCAGTTTCCCAGCTGTTAGGATTTCTGGGAGTTGAAGGCCAAAACATCTGGGGACCCAAAGGTTGAGAACCAATAGCCTAGAGGTTGTCATAGTAATCCATAATAACAATACAGGTTGGTGCATTTGGTATAAAGCAGCTATTATTGTGTTCATCGTTGAACTCCCCCCTTTACTCTGCAATACTTACTTTTTCAATGGAATAATAAACTCGACCAGCATTTGCACTGTCATCATCTACTGCCAAAACATTAAAGATTGGGGAGCCAATCGGTGTATTCTGAAACATAGAGGAAAGGTCAAAACTGTTTCAAGAGCAGTTTGGGGAGATAGGGAGATTCCATGAAATTGTACCATGGCAGTAAAAGTGGTGTCAAACTGATTAATTCTACAATGTAGATGCATCCCAGGATACCAGTGTCCACCAAGAGAAGCCACAAACAAAATGGTAGATAAGGGAACATAGCCAATACACACCAAAGACATGATCCATAAACTGGTACAATCTGCCAACACAAACTAGTCTATACCCAACTTACTAATGAAAAGGGATTCTAATAGTCTGATATAGACCTTTAAAACGTCTATTCTGAACTATATGGAAATTGGAGAACCTTTCTAATCAATTGCAAGATTCTAATTCTCCTTCTGTCCATCCCTGCCTTAACTAAGTATGACATGGATATTTGTATGAACTGGGTGCAATATCTTGAAAAAATCTGTAGAAGTTCTCTCATGAGGTTAGGTGGGTTCAGATACCTCAGGGACATCTGTGAAATAGGGTTCATCTTGGAAGATTGGCTTGTTGTCGTTCCGGTCTGTTACAATGATGGTGAGCTTTTTATAAACCTGTTGAGGAAAGAGATTACTGTTGTAAGACGCTAGGCAGGTGGGTTTGAGGGTACCAGACCTGCACCAAAGAACAGAGAAGATCTGAGTTAAGAGAACATGGGAACCAGATACTAAGTATATGTTAACAGTTATGTAGAAAGAAGAAAAATCAGCTTGGACAGAACATAGTTGAGAAGTGAGGAAAGGAGCATAAACACAAATCCCCTCAGCTAAACAACAACTGGAAGCACAAGAGCTATATCCAATTTTGCATCTGATTTGCATCTATATTTCCAAGGAAGGAACTAACAGAACTACCTGAGTATTCCTTGCCTAAGAACACTATGTGAATTTCATGAGGTTGCCATAAGTTGACAGAAGATACCCTGCATAAGCTGAACACTTAGGACCCGATAACATTCAGCAATAGTCCTTTTCTGGGCTCATTTGCATACAGATCATGACAGGTCCTATCAAATGACATTTGTCCCCTGTCATCGTCAACTTGTCGGAAACCGTTGCAAAAGGTGGCAGAAATCGAGTATCTGGACATGGGTTTCATATCATGTTTCTTAATACAAAATGCATTAAATTCACTGCTTTTATGTGTGATCACTGAAACAGTAAGCATCCCCCATGCGTGATGTCTTTTGGGGGGGGGGCATGTCTGTAAGTGGTCCCTGTGGACCCTGGGATTTGACATGAAGGGAGCCATCACCATTTTTCTCTGACTGCATTAAGAGAGAAGACCTTCGTAACAGCTACTTTGGAGTCTTCTATCCCCTTTTTAATGTGTTTTCAAAATAATTTGACAGTAAAATACCTCAGAATACCTTCGTACAGCACAATAGTAATTGCTATTTGCCAGTTCGCACCCAACAATTTTTGGATTATGTGATTTTAATGTTTATATTAATATGTTTTTAACTCCACGTTTTAATGTACAAATGTTGTTATGTTTTAATGATCTAATTGATAGTTATATGCTATTGTTGTTTTATGTGAGGCATTAAATTTTGCCATAAATATATTAGAAACTGCTTTGAGTCTCTGTCCTGACTCCCCACCCCCGGGAGAAAAACGGTATACAAGTAAAGTAAGTAAATAAATAAATAAATAAATGGCAGTGAAAGTGGCTTTCAACTGTATTGATGCAAGATCTACATGATGTGTGACATACACAGAAATTACAACAAATTGGGAGGGGCAAAGTTTTTGTGCTGTCATGAGTCAAACTGGATTACTTTAAACAGTAAGAAAGTCATGTGATTGGGGGGGGAGGGGCGTTAATGCAGCTAGTCAGGATCCTGTATGCATTCTGTTGGGAAAAAATAATGCTGGATACACACGGATTAAGCGTCTTAAAGTTTAGATGTGATGAAGTCCTCAGCTTATCCAAATTTTATGAATGCAGCCTGGACTTTAAAGGATAGCAAATATCAGTTAGACCAGTGTTTCTCAAACTGTGCTCCTCCAGGTGTTTTGGACTTAAGCTCCCAGAAATCTAAGCCCGCTTACCAGCTGTTAGGAAGCTGATGTCCATAACATCCGGAGGAGCACAATTTGAGAAACTCCAAGTTAGACTAAGCAAGAGAGTGATTTGTTCAATTCTGGCTTGGTCCAACTGTTGCTGCTTTTATTCACTTGAAAATTGGGATAATTGCTCATTCCCCCCTCAATTGAGGGACAAGGCTCCTAAATGGAATTCTGCCCCAGACTTACCACTACATTCTTCTTGTCTGTCACTCCAGCATCAACAGGGAAAGTTTTTCTTTCCTGGAATAAAAAAAAATGCAAGTCAACTGCACTTTGATGAAGTGCCATGGCAATATCTTTCCACCTATCAGTGTATCTTGTCTTAATAATCAGTTTGGATTGAGATCTTTCTCCCCCCCCCCTTCCCCCCGCTCCCCAATTCTTTTTTACAGATAGGGAATTCTTACTTATCTTCTTAGACCAGTGGTTCTCAACCTGTGGGCCCCCAGGTGTTTTGGTCTACAACTCTCAGAATTCCCAGCCAGTTTACCAGCTGTTAGGATTTCTGGGAGTTGAAGGCCAAAACATCTGGGGACTCACTGGTTGAGAACTACGGTCTTAGGCAATCGGCTAAACTATGAGATGGAGTGAATGATCAAAGAATTTTCCATAACTCTTAGGTCTGATTATAATAAAAGTTACATCAAGCATTGACCCACACAGGCACAATTGTAATGTCTGTTATGCTGCTTCATAAATCATAAGTAAGTTGACAGCATAACTTAAGTGTGCATCTGTACTGTAAAATTAATGCAGTTTAACACCACTTTAACTTTCTTTGTTCAATGTTATAGAATCACGGACCCTGTCACTTTAGAAGATCTTTAGCCTCCCATGGCAAAGAGTGCTGGTGCCTCACCAAATGGCAACTCCCAAGATTCCATAACACTGAGTCATGACAGTTAAAGTGCCGTCAAAGTGCATTACTTGCACAGTGTAGATACACACTAAGCAACACTGTGGTTATAGCTTTTTGAATTATACTACTCTTTTTCTGGTGTAACTGTAACTTTTTAGTGACTTTAATCATTATAGAGGGTGTGGTGGCCTTAATAAAATTGGGAAAGGGGGTGTCATAATTCAACTGTTGGCGTATGCTGTACGTCATAATGATAAGAGGAAAGTTTGTTGTGTATTAAAGAGCAATACCTTGTAGAAGCATGACAGCAAAACTAATTTTCCAAAGTGCAGATTTGATGATAACTAAACATCATGGTAATTATGTTAAAGGTTTTGATTATTTGAAGCAGCAACTTAACTAATGTTTTAAAACATATTTCTGAGCTCTGCCCAGTCCTACCCACTGGCAGAATACAGAAGGTATAAATGGGAACGGAAATGGTTGGGCTGTATCAATATTAGAAAAAGGAACAGGAGGTTTAACACAATGCAGTTTATCGGCTGACACAACAAATGGGAATCTCTTTATAAAGCTCTGTTATTGTTGTTGTTCATTCGTTCAGTCGTCTCCGACTCTTCGTGACCTCATGGACCAGCCCACGCCAGAGCTCCCTGTTGGCCGTTACCACCCCCAGCTCCCTCAAGGTCAGTCCAGTCACTTCAAGGATGCCATCCATCCATCTTGCCCTTGGTCGGCCCCTCTTCCTTTTGCCTTCCACTTTCCCCAGCATAATTGTCTTCTCTAGGCTTTCCTGTCTCCTCATGATGTGGCCAAAGTACTTCAACTTTGTCTCTAGTATCCTTCCCTTCAATGAGCAGTTGGGCTTTATTTCCTGGAGGATGGACTGGTTGGATCTTCTCGCAGTCCAAGGCACTCTCAGAACTTTCCTCCAACACCACAGTTCAAAAGCATCTCTTCCTTCGCTCAGCCTTCCCTAAGGTCCAGCTCTCACATCCGTAGGTGACTACAGGGAATACCATGGCTTTGACTAGGCGGATCTTTGTTGTCAGTCTGATGTCTCTACTCTTCACTATTTTATCGAGATTGGACATTGCTCTCCTCCCAAGAAGTAAGCGTCTTCTGATTTCCTGGCTACAGTCTGCATCTGCAGTAATCTTTGCCCCTAGAAATACAAAGTCTGTCACGGCCTCCACGGTTTCTCCCTCTATTTTCCAGTTGTCAATCATTCTTGTTGCCATAATCTTGGTTTTTTTGACATTTAGCTGCAACCCGGCTTTTGCGCTTTCTTCTTTCACCTTGATTAGAAGGCTCCTCAGCTCCTCCTCGCTTTCGGCCATCAGAGTGGTGTCATCTGCATATCTGAGGTTGTTAATGTTTCTTCCAGCAATTTTCACCCCAGCTTTGCATTCATCGAGCCCCGCACATCGCATGATGTGTTCTGCATACAAGTTAAAAAGGTTGGGTGAGAGGATGCAGCCTTGCCGTACGCCTTTCCCAATCTTGAACCAGTCTGTTGTTCCGTGGTCAGTTCTGACTTTTGCTACTTGGTCCTTGTACAGATTCCTCAGGAGAGAGACAAGGTGGCTTGGGATGCCCATCCCACAAGAACTTGCCACAATTTATTATGATCCACACAGTCAAAGGCTTTAGAATAGTCAATGAAGCAGAAGTAGATGTTTTTCTGAAACTCCCTGCCTTTCTCCATTATCCAGCGGATATTGGCAATCTGGTCTCTCGTTCCTCTGTCTTTTCTAAACCCAGCTTGAACATCTGGCAACTCTCGCTCCATGTATTGCTGGAGTCTTCCTTGCAGGATCTTGAGCATTACCTTACTGGCATGAGAAATAAGGGCCACTGTACGGAAGTTTGAGCAGTCTTTCGCATTTCCCTTTTTTTTGGTATGGGGATATAAGTTGATTTTTTCCAGTCTGATGGCCATTCTTGTGTTTTCCATATTTGCTGGCAAATGGCATGCATCACCTTGACAGCATCATCTTTTAAGATTTTAAACAGTTCAGCTGGGATCCCTTCGTCTCCTGCTGCCTTGTTGTTAGCAATGCTTCTTAAGGCCCATTCAACCTCACTCCTCAGGATGTCTGGTTCTAATTCATTCACCACACCGTCAAAACTATCCTCAATATTATTATCCTTCCTATACAGATCTTCTGTATAGTCTCGCCACCTTCTCTTGATCTCTTCAGCTTCTCTTAGGTCCCTGCCATCTTTGTTTCTTATCATACCAATTTTTGCCTGAAATTTACCTCCAATGTTTCTAATTTTCTGGAAGAGGTCTCTTGTCCTTCCTATTCTGTTGTCTTCTTCACTTCCATGCATTGCTTATTTAAAAATAGTTCCTTATCTCTTCTGGCTAACCTCTGGAATTGTGCATTTAACTGGGCATATCTCCCCTTTTCACTGTTTCTTTTTGCTTTCCTCCTTTCTTGGGCTACTTCCAGTGTCTCAGCAGACAACCATTTTGCCTTCTTGGTTTTCTTTTTCTTTGGGACGTACTTTGTTGCCGCCTCCTGAACAATGTCGTGGACTCCTGTCCATAATTCTTCTGGTACTCTATTTATAAACCTGTTCTTCACCTCTTACCTCCACTGCATATTCGCTAGGGATGTTAGTGAGATCATATCTAACTGGTCTGTGTATTTTCCCTGATCTCTTTAGTTTTATTCTCAATTGAGCAATAAGAAGTTCGTGATCTGAGCTACAGTCAGCCCCAGGTCTTGTTTTCACCGACTGGATGGATGTCCGCCACCTTTGGCTGCAAAGGATGTAGTCAATCTGATTTCGGTGTTGACCATCTGGTGAGGTCCATGTATAAAGCCGTCTTTTAGGTTGTTGGAAGAGAGTATTCGTTATACACAGCAAGTTTTCCTGGCAAAATTCTATCAGCCTGCGTCCCGCTTCATTTTGTTCTCCCAGACCATGCTTGCCTGTGATCCCAGTTGTCATTTGACTTCCCACCTTGGCATTCCAGTCTCCTGTAATGAAAATAATGTCTCTTTTTGGTGTATTATCCAGTAGGTCCTGCAGATCCTCATAGAACTGATCTACTTCTGTTTCTTCAGCAGCTGTGGTTGGGGCGTATATTTGGATCACTGTAATGTTGAAAGGCTTTCCTTGCACTCGAATTGAGATCATTCTGTCATTTTTTGGGTTGTATCCAAGCACTGCTTTAGCGAATTTCTTATTAATTATGAAGGCTAATCCATTTCTTCGATGTTCCTCTTGTCCGCAGTAGTAGATCTGGTGGTCATCTGATGTGAAGTGGCCCATTCCAGTCCATTTCAGTTCGCTGACCCCCAGAATGTCTATCTTTAGTCTTGACATCTCACCAATAACAACATCCAATTTGCCCTGGCTCATAGATCTTACATTCCAGGTTCCTATGGTGTGTTGATCTTTAGAGCATCGGATTCATCGTTCACCTCCAGTACCGTCGGCCGCTAGCCTTCCTTTCGGCTTTGAGCTAGCTGCGTCATCACATCTGGGGCTAGTTGAACTTATCCTCTCCTCCTCCCCAGTAGCATTTTGGCCATCTTCCGACCTGGGAGTCCCATCTTCCAATGGCATACCGACATATCTCTGGTTGTACTGGTCCATTTAGTTTTCTTGGCAAGGATACTGGAGTGGTTTGCCATTGCCTTCCCCAGGGATCACGCTTGGTCTGACCTCTCTGCCAACCGTCCCGTCTTGGGTGTCCCTTCACGGTTTCGCTCATGACATCATTGAGGTGCTCAAGCTCCAGCGCCCCGACAAGGCGGTGATCCTTTGCTGGAGAGCTCTGTTATAAACTGTTCTAATGGAAGGAACCTTCCTGGTTCACCCATACTTGGAGCCTTTCCTTCATCCTCCTAGTCATCCTTACCTCATAATTCAGTTTTCGACTCAAAGTCACATTGCCTGTACTGTGGTCGACAGCAAAGTAGTTGGCGTTCTCACCCTCAATGGTATAGTACAACTCATCCCCATCAGCATCCACAGCCACCAGCTGAAAAACCCAGGCTCCTGCAATACAAAAGCAAGAAATGCAAGTCCTGCTTCTATTTAAAAACAGAATGATTTTAGGGTATCACAGGCAGCAAAATGCCTTGTGTGACCCTGATGACATGCCATTTCTAAAAGGTCACAAGTTTCATAGGGAAAAATCTCAAGAGACTTTGAGATTCCTTCACACACACCTTCGCTTTGCATTGTAGCCCTTTCTTTAGCTTGAGTGTGGGTATTAAAAATAAGATCTGGAAGCCTTTCTGTTCCCATAGGAACATGCAAGAAGAGAACATATTAATAACCTTCTCAGAGTCAAGCACAAACTGATGGCCATCATATATGTTGGATGACATGTTCTATCGTTCCCAACAGGATACTATTGTAAAGACTCTATTGGTCGCCGGTTTAGGGAACACTGTCCAGACATCATTCCAGAAAATATTTTTGTTTGTTTGCCTTTTCCCTCTTATAATCCGAGGCAACGCTCTCTCTTCCACTCACCCAAAGGCGTGTCTTCTGGCAAGGTAAAGGAGCTGTTCATGTTAAACCGTGGTGCTGTGTTCCCTGATGCTGCAAGGAAAACAGTTGGGTGTGTTTATCATTTCTTCATGGAGCTAAATTCCCTGCTCTGTCTTCTGCTTTTTGTGTTGTTTCCATCACAACTTCCGTAAGCTATCAATTGCAATGGTCATCATTGATTTTTCCAACATTATGAAGTAACTAGTAGTGGGTAGTTTCCACAGCAATTTTGTTCCCATTCCAGCTAGCAAAGGACTGTCAGCCCTGCACATTTGTGGATTTGTTTAACCTGTTCTCTCTATGAATCTCCAGGTTATCCAGTGCAACTTCATAGTCAATGTTGAGCAAAAGTCAACCATACAGCCATATTCGAGGACCTAGGCTGGATCTACACTGCCATATAATCCAGATTATCAAACAAATAATCCACATTATCTACTTTGAACTAAATTATATGAGTCTACACTGCCATATAATACAGTTCTAAACAGATAATATGGATTTCATATGGCAGTGCGGAAGGGGGCCTAAATATTCCTAGAGAGGTTATGTTAAAAAATACTGTTTTTTCAAATTTCTCACCTTTGTCCTATAATCATTACCCCAGCAAATGTGGAGGGCTGGTTATATTTGAAAATATATAGCTTCATCCTTCTAGAGCTCTTGTTTCTGTCAATACTAGGTTTCAAACATTTGCAACCATGTAACTTTATGAAATGCAAAGAAGAGTTAAAGCTTCTTGGGCTTTAAAAGTCTCTTATCTCAGATCACAAACTGGAGACAAAATATGATGCTTGCCAGATCCACAGGAAGCCTATGTGGCCACATTTTGACCCTAAGGATCCCTCAAATCCACTGTACAAATAGCAAAAGCAAACATTGTCCTCATTGTGGAAATTCTTACCTCTTGACAGACATATGCAGAGAAGTATCCCTGTGAACCAAAGCATCCTGCTAAGGCAAAAGGGCCTGTGCATAGAAAAGAAAAAAAGAGTCAAGAGTCAATCTGTGAAAATTTACTTGCCCTCCCACCCATTCAGAGCAATTGCTTGTGGTCTTTAGGATCCCTTACAGCAGGGTTGTCAAACTCATTTTCATCCAAGGCTATATCAGCCTTATGATTGTCCTAAAAATGCTGTTGAATCCATGGATGGAGAATCAGTGGATACAGAGGGACAACTATAATTTTTCTACATAGTGGTGGTCAGTGCTCTTTGGTTTTTTAGGCCTGTTTGATCAAGAAAAAATTTGTTTCTAAAATCGATTTGTAATTGGGGTGCTTTTTTGTTTCGATATTTAAAATATTTACAAAACTTTCCAAAAAAATGTTTTGTTATTTACGAAATTTCGTAAATATTTACAAAACATTTTGTAAGTGTGAATGTTGCAGTTGGTCACCTTGATTAGCATTGAATGGCTTTCATTTCTCCCACCCTGGACATTCCATAGATAAACTCCATTTGCCTAGTTTCCAACAGACCTCTGAGGATGCCTGCCATAGATGTGGGCAAAATGTCAGGAGAGAATGCTTCTGGAACATCTCTCATCTCATCTCTCATCTCATCTCTCATCTCATCTCTCATCTCAGGCGGGCCACGGAGGCAGAGCCGGCGCTGCAGGAATCCCCTCCCCGGCTCCTGCGCTCCGGCTCCGGCTCCTGCGCCCTCCTCCTCCTCCTCCTCCTCCTGGCACTTCCTGCAGCAGCAACACAGCTGGGAGAGGCGCCTTAAAGAGACAACCGGCCTCCACGCGCCATCCAATCGGCTCCGGCTCCTGCGCCCTCCTCCTCCTCCTCCTCCCAGCTGTGTTGCAGGAAGCGCGCGCTCACCCTTACAACCGGCCTCCGCGCGCCATGCAATCAAAGGGTGGAGCGCGCGCGCAGCATCCAATCGGCTCTTCCGATCCGCTCCTGCGCCTCCACCTCCTCCTCCTCCTCCCAGCTGTGTTGCAGGAAGTGCCAGGAGGAGGAGGAGGAGGAGGGCGCAGGAGCCGGAGCCGATTGGATGGCGCGCGGAGGCCGGTTGTAAGGGTGAGCGCGCGCTTCCTGCAACACAGCTGGGAGGAGGAGGAGGAGGAGGAGGGCGCAGGAGCCGGAGCCGATTGGATGGCGCGCGGAGGCCGGTTGGATGGCGCGCGGAGGCGCGGAGGCCCCGCCCGCCCCATTTACAAAACGGGCGAAAGCTCGTAAATACTGTGGGAGTTGCCGTTTCGATATTTAAAAACCCTTCCGGGTTTGGAAATATGTTTTGTTATCGTACCGTAAATGCAAAAATTAACGAATGTTTAACGAATTAACGAATTAACGAACGAAACCGCACAGGCCTAGTTTTTACCCAATTTGGGTCCCCGGATATTCATGAATGACAACTCCCATCACTTTTGATTACCTGCCATGTGAGGTGGGGATATTTGCAACCCAACAGCACTTGTGGCTCTGAGGTTGGGGAAAGGTTGAAGGACCTTTTAAAGTCAGACATCATATCCACAAGGCTTGTATCTTAATCCAAATTCCACTATCTGGACTATACAGAAGACATGGCAGACTTCCAGATGTTACTGTATCACAACTCCTATCAGCTCTAGTGATGGGGAATACAGCTGTAGTCTAGCATCTGGAAGGCCACATAAAATGACGTGGCAGACCAAATTCAGCCTGGCAGTCTAGAGTTTCATACATGTGGCCTATAGGATGCACAATCCTTGCAATATTGTTTATATGCTTATATGTTTTATATTTTAATGCTATGTTGTTTATTTTATTGCAATTTGTATCTTATTTTATTGTAATTTGTTGTTTGGGCTTGGCCTCATGTAAGCCGCCCTGAGTCCCCGTTGGGGGAGATGGTGGCGGGCTATAAGTAAAGATGATGATGATGATGATGATTATTATTATTATTGCAATAGGTTCCCACTTATTTATTATTTATTTATTTACTTACTTACTTACTTTATTTGTATACCGCACTCTCTCAGCCCGTAGGCGACTCAGTGCGGTTTACAGTCAGGTCAATATACAAAGTGCACAACATTAGCATTTAAAACAGTAACTAAGGCAACTACATCAATATAACAATACATCAATACATCAATATAACATCGATACATCCATATAACTAATCCATCACGTCTCATTAAACTGCCATGGCTCAATGCTATGGAATCCTGGGATTTGTAGTTTGGTGAGGCACCTTATTTTACAACTTATTTTATTTTTCTGGTTATTTAATATTTAATATTTATTTTACTTAGGTGATATTTGTCTTTACTGTTCTAATGTAGCACAAATCCTATGTAAAATCATACTACGTATTTTTGACATTAATATTGAAATCTGAAATATATACAGAAAGTTTTTACTTTGCAGAGAAGGCTAAGGATCTTGTAAAAATACAACTTCCAGAATTCCATAGGAAGCAGGAACCATGGAAGGAGGATAGGGTGCAACCCACTTGTTATTACATGAGGAAACAATGATGGAGATAGGAGTTTTTCCTCACCTCTTAATGCAAATATAGCCTGTATACAATCAACACACTCAGGACCAGAAGGAAACAACGCTGTAAAATTAGTGTAGTTTAACACCACTTAAACTGCACTAATTTTACAGTGTTGTTTCCCTCTGGTCCTGAGTGTGTTGATTGTATACAGGCTATATTTGCATTAAGAGGTGAGGAAAAACTCTTATCTCCATAATTGTTTCATCATGTCATAACAGGAGGGTTGCACCCTATCCCCCTTCCAAGGTTCCTGCTTCCTTTTATCATCTTGAACAACACACCCAGGGAGCACGAATGACAAACTTACAGGAAGCAGAAGAGAAGGCCAATGTACAGACCTAAGTACGCAGATACCCTGGCAATGGGAGGGACAGGCATCATATACTGATGCAAAACAACAAAAACAAAATAGAAACAAAAGCTGGAGAATTGTACTTCTCTACAGCTATTGTTTTAAAAAAAATAATAGTACTTTTTGTCGGTTGAAATTTTCACAGAATTTTAATAGACTTTGCTAAGTGCGTTGTTTGCATTTATCAGCCTCAACAGCAGAAACTATAAGCAAAATTATATTTGTTACCAAGCAGCTGGGCAAGTCACGGAAGTGCACAATACAGAAATAATGAGGCTTGGGATAAACTCTTTTATTACCCTGAATACTCACCTTTAAAGTCACTAAATAAGAATTTAGGTATTTTGGGCAAAATAAAAGCAGTCAAAATGTTCCTAATCCCAAAATTAATTATTTATTCCAAATCCTTTCAGACAAAATTAACCAAAAATTATTTAATAATTGATCAAAACTTTAAAATATGGATTTTTGGAGAGAGAAAAAATTAAGAATACAAAAAAAATTATACCCCAGGGGGTACTAGGATGGAGGATTCCAAACCTGGAGCTATGTTATGAAGTATTCAAATTAAAATCATTATTGGAAATTACGTAAGAGTGAGAAGAGAGAAAGATGGATTAGGATAGAGAATGAATCCAATAAGGGCGAAGGAAGAAACAGGGTGTGTACAAGTAACCTAACAACAGAAATTAGAAAAACAAACGGGCCCAGAAAAATTGCACTAAAAATATTGGAAAAATGGCAGCCAAAGTGGATGCCAGAAATATCTAAGTGGCCACCATTGGAGTTTTTATATGAGAAAAAGTTTGATCCTAATTGGTGGAAGGAAATAAGGAGTAAAGGCTATTATAAAATTAATGATATGTACGACTTAAATGGTCAGCTAATTCCCATAGACAGGATTATAGAAAAGGTCAGAAATAGAAAATGGTTAAAACTATTAGGCTTATATAATCAGCTCAAAATTGGGAAATATGGCAGAAAAATAGAGGAAGAGGACAATATGGAGGAAATATTATTATGTTACACTCATATGTGGTGGGAATGCCCAAAGCCTTTTGGGGGGAAAAATAGGGAAGAGAATTGAAAAATTATTCAAAATACCACTCCAAGTGAATATAGATTTGATTTGATGGGTGTATTAGGCAATAACAAGATTAACATAAAAGAACAAGAATTGTTTAAAATCATGATTCTAGCAGAACAGGAAGTGATAGTATGAGGTGGAAAGATGGGAAAATGGACTATGGAAAATGGGAATAACTACCTTTATGATCAGGTCCAATCGGAAATTATAGTATGTTTAAGTTGAGAGCATGTCCAGGAGGATAAAATAGGAAAAAATAAAAATAAATAGATGACTTATATGGCATGGATAAAAAGTGGAGAAGCCAATATGAATATTGTACAGAAACTAAGAAAACTGTGTTTATGGTTAATGATAGAGATATAGAGAAAATATGTGGTCTGGGTGATGAGTGATGGGAGGTGGGAATGGGAGGTTTTTAACAACAGAAATTAATAAAATATTATTAAGAAAAATAAAAGGATAAGGTGAAGTCAAAAGAGTTATAAGCATTATATGTTATACCAGTATTCAAGAACATGGATATGAGATGCTTGTGTGTATATGCACCAAATGAAATCAAGTGGAAATAATGTTATGAAAAGCTTAAATAAGAAAAAATATATATTTAAAAAACAGGTGCAACCTTATCGGTCTGGCAACTCTTTCTGTCATACTCGCCAGGTGTAGGCGATGTTCTACAAGCGGATGTCATGGGATCCCTGGTTGGCCACAAGCTGCTTAAATGCAGCTATTGCTTTCAGATGGGGGGGCTACAGACGAGAAAGACTGCTTCCTTCCTGTGGTTGTTGTAGAGATGCCTAATAGGGCCTCGCTCATCTTTTCCACTATGCCCTGCCTCATGTACAGAGGAAAAATTGTTGGAGGCTACAGACAATGTCATTGCTGTTGCCCGTTTTTGGTCAAAAGATATTTAGCTGCCTGCATTCCTTCTATTTTTATTAGTTTTATACTAATTTGTGGAATGCTTTTGATACAAAATAAATACATAAATAAATAAATAAATCCCATGGTTCATTCCCTCCCTCCCTCCTTCCCTCCCTTGGTCATCACAGCACAGCATGGATAGAGACAGCTGAGTTTACCCCTTACCTCATCTCGTACGGGATCATGGAAATGCCACTTGAGTCTGTGATAGACACTGGAGGTCTGAATACTTCCTTCAGACTTTGGCTCCTGTCTTGAATAAGCTGATCAATTATTAACTGAAATTAGAGGGTGAGGACTTTGGTCCAACCTCCTTGAACAGGACTCTTCCTCTTTTTCTTTTTCCTGCCTGAGGTTGCTTGGGCAGGTGTCAGTTCCAAAACAGGTCTTTGCAGGTGTCCTGGAAGGGAATGTCCAAACCGCTGGCACCATTCAGCCTCCATTCCCAATGGCTTTTCACATCTCGGGTCCTTCTCAGCTCTATCTCTCATCTTAAACAGCAGTCCAGTTGTCAGATTGTGGACCTGTAGCCAACCCAGCCTATGTGACAAACATGAATCAATAGTTATATTGGTTGCTTTGGTAACATTCTGTCTCAATTTAAGAGAAATATGGACAGATCTACTGAAAGCAATTAGGATCATGGTTAGAGGTGCTATCCTTAGCCAGCTGCACTGGCTGGGAATTACGGGATTGGTAGTGCAATAAACATGACAGAGGATCTACATGGGTTGTGGACTATGGAGAGGAGAGGTACATCTACACTGTCAAAATAATGCAGTTTTACAACACTTTAACTGTGATGGCTCAATGCTATGGAAGCACGGGAACTATAGTTTAGTATTTATTTATCGTGTCAGGCAACCAAACAGTTGTATTAAATTTTTGACAGAACAAACAAACAAACATACAAAAGACACAGAGTTTGCAAGCTTGGTGTTGATTAAATGTCCTTTGACCAGTATCTGGTCACTTGGAGTGCTTCTGGTGTTGCCGCAAGAAGGTCCTCCACTGTGCATGTAGCAGGGCTCAGGTTGCATTGCAGCAGGTGGTCAGTGGTTTGCTCCTTTCCACATTCACATGTTGAGGATTCCACTTCTGTAGCCCCATTTCTTAAGGTTGGCTCTGCATCTCGTGGTGCCAGAGTGCAGTCTGTTCAGCGCCTTCCAAGTCGCCCAGTCTTCTGTGTGCCCAGGAGGGAGTCTCTTATTGGGTATCAGCCATTGATTGAGGCTCTGGGTTTGAGCCTGCCACTTTTGGGCTCTCACTTGCTGGGGTGTTTCAGCGAGTGTCTCTGTAGATCTTAGAAAACTATTTCTTGATTTAAGTCATTGACATGCTGGCTGATACCCAAACAAGGGATGAGCTGGAGATGTCTCTGCCTTGGTCCTTTCACTATTGGCTGCTACTTCCCGGTGGATGTCAGGTGGTGCAATACTGGCTAAGCAGTGTAATTTCTCCAGTGGTGTAGGGCTCAGACACTCCGTGATAATGCGGCATGTCTCATTAAGAGCCACATCCAATATTTTAGTGTGGTGAGATGTGTTCCACACTGGGCATGCATACTCAGCAGCAGAGTAGCATAGCACAAGGGTGGATGTCTTCACTGTGTCTGGTTGTGATCCCCAGGTTGTGCCAGTCAGCTTTCGTATGATATTGTTTCTAGCACCCACTTTTTGCTTGACGTTCAGGCAGTGCTTCTTATAGGTCAGAGCATGGTCCAGAGTGACTCCCAGGTATTTGGGTGCGCTGCAATTGGTGAGGCATCAGAACTATTTGGCAGAAAAGGCCAAAAACCTTGCCTTTTGCATGATTCCCATGAGCCATGGCAGTTAAAAGTAGTGTCAAACTGCATTAATTTGAAAGTGTAGATGCACCCAATGTGAATTATTTCACCCTACATACCATTTCAACCACATGCAATCAACTATAGAGGATCATAAAGTGCCCCTTCAATGGAAACACCAATTTAGGCAGGACTTTCTGCAGAGATTCCTTTTCTGTATCCTGCAACTATTTCAATTTGGAAAACAGACCCCTGATTAATCCTCTGTCATCCTTTCAGCTGTTCTTAAAGCATGCCAGTCCCTCTCTCCTTCTCCCACTTCTTTCCTTTGTCCTCAGCTTTCTTCAGTTGAGGTAAACTGAGTTCAAAGTACAAAGATAGTAATTAACTGACTCGGGCAGAAAGGTGTAATTTCACCCTTCCCAGCAGGTTCAGGCAAAGGAAAAGTGCTGCTGCAGCATCTTCCTATCTTGTGTGCTTTACTAATTGATACATTTTGCATCTTGACCACACTCTGATGTTGCTTGGCAAGATGTGTTCTGGTTTTTATCTGTGAAATATTGGAGGGTATGCTTTCCCCCCTGAGCTGCCTTTGTATCCTTCTTATTGCTCTCTCCTCAACCTGCCACTTTGTATCCCAGATCTCCCAGCCAAGGAATGTGAGTAAAAGCCCAAGGTAGCCATTTTAAACAGGGGTGGAAATCAGGTAGCCCTTCAGATATTATTGAAATGTATTTTCTGTCTAACCTTTTCAAAGCTATGGTCCAAATATCTGGAAAGCAGCACCTTCCCCCACCCTACTTTAAACCTTCATTCACATCCTGTAACATTTCTGAACAAAGGTAGGAGTTATTCCATATGTTGACACTATCTTGGTTTGTCAACTGGTTTGCTTCTATGTGCCTTTCCACCACTGCTTGGCATGCAGATATTCATAAGAGAGCCCTTTCTACTTGGTTGTACTTCCACATAAACATTGCATCTCTTGAATTTCTGCTTGCCAAGATGACAGCTTTACCATGAGACCGGCAGGAGGAAAAGCTATCTTACCCCAGGTTCCTGCGTTTGATTCTCCTGCCTCATGGTCCCTTTCATGCCCAGGCCTTGTTTTGGGGGAAAATCTGGTGAGGCCAGGGAGGGCTGCCTGTAGCCTGGAAGGGCGGATGAGGCCTTTTGCTTGCGCTGCCGGTTTGTGCCTTTGACTTTGCACTGAAGTAATTGACAAGTAAAAGGATTCATCAGACAGGATCTCAGTATGTGTGTATGTATGTGTGTGTTTGGGGGAAGCAAAGTGGCTGCAGCCTCCCCAATGACCTACTTACAGTAACAAATGAGGATTGTGCTGTCTCCACTGAGGCAGAAGATGAGTTAGGCCAGAGAAAGGGAGAGAGGTTGTGCCAGCTCAATGATGTGTTGTTTGGGCCAGAAAATGTATTGTCACTCCTCTCACTGTGACCAGCAATAACAAGGCAGGAGCATCCCTACCAATGGAGGAAGTATGCTAGGATTCAAGAGAGACATTTTACAGTGATCGCATGGCAAATATTCTTCTTGCTGCCTTTGTTGATGTTTAGAGTTCATTCCAGATTATCCTAAATGTTATTATATATTTTCCAAAATTCACATATGAAAAATAGGACATGCAAGACAAAGCAACATAAGGGTGTAGTCAAGAAAGCAAAAGTTATTAACAAGCAAGTGTTATCAAAATAATCAGATCCCCCCCTCCCAAAAAAAATATTAATTATGAGGCTCAGTACCATGGAGATATACAGCATGCCCACTTTATCTTTTCCATTTCGCCCTGCAATAGCCCTTCATACATTTCTTTGGAAAGTTGCTTCACCACACCATAGACTCCAGTAAACAATGCCCCAAATTACCATAATCCTTTTACAGTAAACTGGAAGGTTTTGGGGGTAGGACTCACAATGGGTTTGCATCACAGCTACTGGATCCTTTTCCTGTTTCCTGATACAATCTGGGATATTACTGGGAATGGTTCCTCTCCCATGCCCCCAGCCAGACTCACCCTTGTGACACCCACTGAGATGTTCATCAACCTAAAGCACCTATTGTTTACCTTAGACTAATTCTATTGTACCTACCGGAGCTAAGGCATTAAGCCCATTATTGACTGCAAAATGGCTTTTTTTCCAATCACTCCTATCTCAGAGGTAAATCAATAAATGGACAGACTCTTCAAAATAATCCAGTGACAATTTGAGTTTCCCAACACAATGAAGATGAACCAGCAATGACGTCTAAGAGAATCCCAGACTAATTATGAAGTGTATCCTAGTTGGACAGTTTTTGAGCCAAATAGGAGTTTGTACAGGTATCTTAAATAGTTGTCAAATGAAATACATGTGCTCTGTGTTCGCAATTATGTGATGTCAGTGCTTTCTCTGCTGACAACCTCTCTGGCCATTGAGAATAAATCTTTGCTCTTGCCTTCATCCCATCTATGTCTCATTCAGCCTTCTGGGAAGCTAGACACTCTGGACTCTGAAGCTGCGGTTCTTGCAGATGCTGACATCACATAACAGAAGAGCATACAACCTAGGAAAAGCTGCAACAGTTTGCTTTTCCCTAAAACTACAGGGTTGGCTGTGATTCCATCCCTTCCTTGCTAGAAAAGAAAGATGGCAAGACACATCAGTTATGAAGGCACCATAGTCCCTTGAAACATTAAACAAGGCTGGTTTACAACAGAGGTAGAAACCATATGGCTGGGCAGGTTTGCAACTACTAGCATGGGTCACAAGTAGCTATGCTGGCTAATGCATCTCAAAGTTGCAGTTCAAATATGTCCAGAGGGCTATAATGTTCTCACCTTTGGTTACGTTACTAGGAAATATGATTGTAAATGAGATTGCTTTACCTAACAACTCATTGCATCAACTAACAGGAATCATGGTGACTAGAGGATTCTGAACATTAGAGTCCAAAAACTAAATTTACCAAGCTCTGTTAGGCGTAAGTGAGATACTTAGGGTTCTGTGTACTATGTTTTCCACATTTAAAATGCAGTATACCACTTTATTGGCCCCTGTGAATAACTATTCACTTCTCTTCTTATAACCACTGTGTACCATGGCCAACATTTTGCTACCTGGAGCAAATTTATTTATTTATTTATTTATTTATTTATTTCAAGCATTTATATCCCGTCCTTCTCACCTCCAAAGAGGGACTCAGGACAGTTTACAACAGGCAGCCATTAGATGCCAAAAACAATATATTAAAAATCACAGTTACAATTAACACAATTAAAACAATTATAATAATTCAATTTATTTATTTATTTGTTTGTTTATTTATTTATTTATTTGCTATACTTGTATACCGCCGTTTCTCAGCCTAGCCGGCGACTCAATGCGATTTACAACAAAAATGGTTGTAACCATTAAAAATGGTTTGATGGTTCAAAACATCATGGTTCCTACAGCCATGCAAGGCGTATATTACCCCAAGCAAACCATGTTATTATGACGTATGAGACAGAAGATCCCACAAACTCTCATCACATTGGCAGTAAAACAGACTAATGGCAATTTAATTTGCTAACAATTTGCTGATCTTTTATGACATCCAAAATTTGCTGCCTCGGGTTGCCCTTTCACTCTGCCTAATGATAGGGCCAGCTTTATCCATACATGAAGATCCCACAGTTACCAGTAGCAATTTCCTCAAGTTTCATTTATTTATTAAAATATACGTACCCAAAGAATTGGAGAAATGTTCCTCTTTCCCTTTTTTGTCTCTCTCTTCTGTGCAGCAGGTGCTACTTTGGAGCCACCTGAGTATAATAAGTTTGTGACACATTTGAGTCACTTGCATGTGTGCATAACCAAGATATAACATATGCTTTTATGTATGTTAATGCTGTTATTTCTCTCCAGTATTCTGCAACTGTTTTGTATGTATGTAGGTTCAGAGGGGTGCTTCTCACATCTATGGTTGGTTGACTACCAGGTTCTCAAAGAGCTTACTACTGAATTCTCATGCTGCAACATCTTCACACTTAACATTCCTGTGATTAAGGCTGGATCTACATTGTAGAATTAATACAGTTGAACACTTCTTTCACTGCCATGGTTCAATATCTTGGAATCCTGGAATCCATAGTTTGGTGAGCCACCTACACGCTCTGGCAGGGCAAGCTAAAGAACTTCTAAAACTACAACTCCCATAATTCCATAGCACTGAACCATGGCAGTTAAAGTGAGGTCAAATTGCATTAATTCTATAGTGAAGATGTAGCCTTAAATGAATTAAAGATTTGCATAAATTTGCCGTCACTCCTGCTGCTGTAGAAAGTGTCAGCAAAACAACAAGAAAACAATTCTACATAAACAGGATGGATCAGAGCTTTAAAAAGGTAACATCCCCCCCCCCCCCCCCCCCCCCCAACTACAGCTGGTCACACTGATTGTGAATATGTGGCATTCCGGGATCTATAGCCCCAAAAAGAAACTTTTCCAAGCTCTATGATGACTGTAACCAAGCCAATGTTTTCCCCTAGAGAGTGTTCTGTGACATTGAAATGCCAACAGCAACAATGCACATATTAACTTTAGAGCAAATGGGTCATCATTGATTATTCCAACTGGTATGCAGGCTGACAAGGAAGAAAGCCGTTGGGAAATGTCACAGTCGTATTATGTAAAAGTGAGAACCTTTGGCCTCAGAGTGAAAAAGGAGGGAAAATCCAATGCATGCAATTATATTAAGATTTTTTTCCCATTTAGGGTACACCCTAAGACTATTTATTTGGAAATAACACATGATATGGTTTCTATTTGAGTTTAATTTTTAATTTGATTTTTAAAAATGATTGTGAAGAGGAGAAACAGAAAAAATGAGAGAGAGGAAAATAAAACTATAAAAGAAAGAAGAAGCAAATAGAATATGAATGAGTTCTTGTTGACTACTTTGATATAAGGTAACCATATTCTCCAAAATGACAGATAAAGAATGCTTGTTTTTCTATTTCCTGCTTGCGTTAGCTAGAATCTTTACTTCTTCTTATATGCCTTCATGCCAACCCTGATCTGTGGTGACCTTCTCCTAGGGTTTGTCTTGGCAATATTTATCTAGTCCTCTCAGGCAGGAAGAGTATGACTTACCCAAAATCCCCTAGTGGAATTCCAACTACCTAAACAGAAATGTGCAACAACATTTTTGTTACATCCTAAGGAAGGTACATGCATGACTACTGCTTGGACAAGAGCTGTCCTTGTACTTCAAAGAGCACAGTGCAGTGCATGTCAGTGGGGTGTTGACATTATTTTGGGTTTGAGTCTAAACTGTAGAAGCCATCTAACATAATTGAAACTGTTTCTGGGGAAAGATTTCAGCACAATGGATAGCTCCTTTACCGGTCAGGCTGAAACCCACAGCACGCTTACTTCTCCTGTGGCAAAGAAGCTACCAGCTCCCACTGTTCTCAAGAACTAGAAAGAGCTTGGAGAAATGTCTGAACTACATTTTCACTGATCTATACACATCAAAATACTGAATTCAGAAGTTTTCATTTTTGAGCTTTTCATGCAGCACCATGTCCAATTAAATTGTCTTGGTAGAATTCAGTTGCTGTTGCATCCCAGATCAGGAAACGAGACCATAAGATTAAATCCACCACACTTGAATGTAGGAAAAACAATCCTTTTTTATTGATGAAAAATTGGTTACAAAAGAAAGGTAAATGCAAAGTCAAAAAGCCACAATAGAAACACAGCAGTCAGGAAAATCTCTGAACTTGAGCAAAATTCCAAAAACCACAATTACAAAAGCCAGGAACCTGTTAGCATCTCACTAACCATGTACTTGAAAACTAGAAGCCTCTGGGATTACCGGCCATGGAATACAGGAATTCTGCCAAGGCACAGCCGCAGTCCAGAACATTGCTTGATCTAACGAGACAACCGGGGGAAGGCCCCTTAAACCAAAGAAACTATTCCTTGAAACGCCACTTGACTTTGAAGCCTGGGCCTGTCTCTCCTGTAATCTATTTGACCGTCATAGAAACTGTGAATCACTCCTGTTTCTAGCTATCTGTTCCCTTCGGTCCTCATTAAAAAAACCCAGGTGTGATTTCCTCTGGAGAGCTATCACAGCTGGATTCCAAAACATTTTCATCCGGCTGTTTAGTTTCACTTTCCTCGCCACTGACCTCAGCATCAACATCAGTTTCAACACTATCAGGGAGAGATACATGTTCAGTAACTTGCTCAGTTGGAAATACAATCAGAGAATCAGATTC